TTCGAAAGAATCCTCAATTCTCGAATCTGAAGAAAATAATTTTCCCATTTTATTTCAATCCACTCCCGACGAAGAAATTCTTACATTCTGAGAATATAAAATTGTACCCCAATCCAAAATCCAAACAATAACATCACACAAACATTAACCTTCAAAAACATTAAACAACAATGGAGTTTTTTTTTGGCTACTGAAGACAACAATGGAGTTTTTATTTATTTAATTAAGATGAAAAAGCAAAGTGGTTTTTTTTTTTCTACAATCTTGAAGAGATGGCTGTGAATTCAATGGTTTAAGCCAATAAACTCAATATGAATTAGTGGGTTCTTGCTTACTAAATAATTACATTCAGTGGGAGCAACGATTCGGGTTGGGTATCCATCACAAAGAAGGATGTACAATCCTCTCATGTCCATAATTCTTGTACAAAAAGGACGGGAAAATTGGAGGCGGCAAGGAGGAAATTGAGGGATGTATTTTCTTCTGCACTATAAGTGATTAAAGGATGGGGAAGAAAAAGAAGACTAATCAAGGGGAGAAATGGAGAACTTGCTTCTGTGTATTTGAGAATTTGAGGAGAGAGATTACGGAGATGACAAAAGAAAAAAAAAAGAAAAAGAAAAAAAAAAAGTGAAAATATAAAAACAGAGAGAAAGAGGATGGAGAAAAAGAGGGAATGCATGTGAATGGACAAGTTTGCCCCTATCAAACTCACGTGATTCGCACATGCCTAGTATTCCGGCGGAAATCACCGGAATATACCGTTTTAAGGGCAACGTGCAACAAAAGCACGAGTTTAGGTAAAACCGTGCAAAAAAAAATTGTTTGGGGGGCAAAGTGCAAAACGGGCATTAGTTTAGGGAGCAAACTGCTTTTTACTCTAATCTTTAACACAGTGTTCAAGGCTTGAAGCTTATATTTAAAATGTAAATACTAGCTTATAATGTAACATTGGTACAATTTTATTACTCTGGACAAGGAATGGAATTCGGATAGAATGGACCGAAAATGTCTTTTTTTTTTTTTTTTTTTTTTTTTTTTTTTATATATATTTTTATGTTTTGGAGAATTTCCAAATATCTTTGATAGTAAAAAATGGGTTTCAATTTCCATTCTAAAAAAAATCGAAATGCAAAAATTCATTCCAACTTCGGAGATGAATTTTGAAAATTTCAGAAATTACATTGATTTATAATCTATTTTTCCAAATTCGGATATAAAGCGAATCTTCACAATATTTTTAAATCTTTTTCGAAATGTTATAGAAAAATGCAAGAAAATTCAAAAGAGCCAAAACGAATCTGTACCCTAATCAATAGTACTATATATATATGGACGAACTCCTGCTTTCTCCTCAATGGAATGATTTGGACCCTTGCAAAAGGACCTAAAAATCCGACGACCTTGACTGAAAAGCTCCCAATTAGGTCAATAGCTGGTCGAGTAGCTGATCGACCAAATAAGCTAAGCACAACAGCTGTTTAGAGCCGAAGGAGCTCTATTTGGGATTCCATAGCCTACGCACTTGCCTTTAGGGGATCGAAATTGGATGAATCTCCAGCAGTTTGTTCCATTGGCGTCATCTAAGTACCAAACCACGTTAGCAATCCGGAATAAGTGGAAGCTCGAAACGACCGGTCAAAAGAATTGATTACGCAGGAAATATGCAACAAAAAATTTCTAGTACCAATTAATATTTTCTAAGGTTATAATTTACTTGTCATTTCGGTATTCATATCTTTCATATAAAATATAACATAAATTACATTATTACTAAATTAAATTATGTATTTCAAAAAACAATCGAGACATGTGGATCTAAAATCAGATCGGAAATTGGAATTACCAATACAATTCCAATTATGTTTCCAAAAATTGGTGCGAAAATTGGAATGAAAAATACTTTTTGAAATGTAAAAGAAATGCATATCAATAATAACAAATTAGTCGAGTTTGTTTGGATAATAAATTTTAAAACTTGAATTTGCTATATTTGTAGCATGATTTAAATTCATTTCTTTCAAAATAAAATAAAAATAAAAATATATAGTTGGTTTTCGACCTTGACAAGAAAATAGAAGTAGGTTGGTTCATCAAGCATTTTTCTAGCTTTACGCCAATTTGAAGTAGCACACGAACCCAGAATGCACGCCACTAATAAAGCCCAACATGCAATATCCATGACCATCACACACAAATTAAATAACTCGATCCTGCTTATGCAAATTTGCTAATCAACCTCTCTTTCAAAAAAAAATTATCAAAAAAAAAAAACAATGTCAGTCATTTCAGAAAACTCAATAATCCCCACCTTCACTTACCCTCCACTCATAATAGCAGCAGCCACCATCACCTTCCTCGTACTAATCTACCTCCTCTCCACCAAACCCCGCCCCGTTTACCTAATCGACTTCATCTGCTACCGCCCACCTTCCCACCTCCGTGTCTCCATGGCTAACTTCGCCGAACACCTCGAAATCTACAGCATCCAACCGAGAGACACAATTGACTTCCAGGTCAAAATGGCAGAAAAATCGGGAATCGGAAACGAGTCCGCATTCCCACTCTCCCTGCACCGCATCCCGCTCGATAACTCCCTCCCCTTCTCCCGCCAAGAAACCGAAACCGTACTCTTCACCGCCGTTGACCAAATCCTCGACAAACACAAAGTCAACCCCAAAAGCATCGACATACTCATAACAAACTGCAGCATCTTCTGCCCCACACCCTCGATTTCATCCACTGTTATAAACAAATTCGGTTTTCGAAGCAACGTGAAAAGCTTCAGCCTTTCTGGAATGGGGTGTGGGGCTGGCCTTGTAGCCGTTGGATTGGCTAAAGATTTGTTAAAAGTGTCGAAAAACTCGCTCGCTCTTGTTTTGAGCATGGAGGCCGTGACCCCCAGTGGGTATAATGGTAATATCAAGTCGATGCTCTTGGCCAACGCTCTGTTTCGAATGGGGGGTGTTGCGGTTTTGTTATCCAACAAGAAGCAAGATCAATCGAGGGCTAAGTACAAACTCAAATATCTTTTCAGAACACATATGGGTTCGGATGATAGGGCCTACCAGTCCGTTTATCAGCAGAGTGATGATACTGGAGAAGTGGGAGTTTCTCTATCGAGGTCACTTCTGCATGTGGCGGCGAATGCCCTGAAATTGAATATAACAGAATTAGGGCCGAGGGTTTTGCCGATTTCTGAGATGTTTTTATATTTAAAGTCGGTTGTTCAGTGCAAGTTCTTGAATAGGGAGAGAGGGGGAGAGATTTACGTACCGGATTTCAAGAAGGCGTTTGAGCATTTCTGCATACATGCTGGCGGCAGGGCGGTGATTGATGCAGTGGAGGGGCGACTGAAGCTGAGCAGGGAGGATGGAGAAGCTTCTAGAATGACTCTGCATAGATTTGGGAACACTTCGTCTTCTTCTGTTTGGTATGAGCTGGCGTATCTCGAGGCGAAGGGGAGGGTGAAAAACGGGGATAGGGTTTGGCAGATTGGATTTGGGAGTGGATTTAAATGTAACAGTGCCGTTTGGGAGTGTGTTTCGGAAATTGATTCAGATGTGAGAAATGCTTGGTCAGATTGTATAGACAGTTACCCTGTCGAGATACCTGATGTTGCTGATCACTGAATGTGGACCGTTGGATCTCCCCTGTCATTTTACATCTTTTACAGAAAAGTAAAAAACCATTGAAAGATAATTCCTTCCTTTACATGATCACAACAAATGGTGATGAGATAATACAACGGGTCTCTTTTAATTTTTGCCTTCCGAGTCTGCGTTACTGAAACTGAAACACTTCGTAATAGCTGAATCAAATATATACAAATAGATTTTTTTTTACATATTTCTATATTTTACAAGAACCTATAAAATGAAGAGAAGTGACATATAGTTTGTTCTTAAATACCAATATTGCATTGTATCTTCAGCATATGTTTATAGGTCGGGAAAACCCTGTTCTCCCATGCAAAATTATTGATCTGATAACTGTTCATCTCTAGCATTCAACTTGGCGACGACTTTTTATCGTAGATGTTACAGTACCTAAAACTGGAGGCAGTGCAGAGCAAGCAGTAGAAAAAAAATTAAGAAGTTCGATTATTTAGAAACAATAGCAAGTTCTTTTCATAGCCTTCAGATAGATCAGTCACTTATTACAAAAAAGATAGATCACGAGGGAAAATCAACTTGTATAAGAAAGTTGTACCTTGCGCAGAATCAGCGTGAAAATAAATTAAACCAGAGACCAAGGCTCTTGTGCGCACAAGGTAGACTTTCATAAGGCCACATTCCCAACCACAAGCAAATTCATTGAGGATTCGTTTCGAGAGGAATTTTTATCACTTGTAGGCTGAATTAAACTGTGAATATATCTGTTGCACAGTTCAACCAATAAAAGGCAGTAAGATATAACACGTTAAGAGGATTTGATAACCAAAAGAAAAATCGAAGTCCACAGATTGAAGGTTTGGCTTGAGAATAGCCCTTGTGCATACCTGAAACTCCAAACTCTCAAAATCTCTTCGACGCAGCATAATGCTTAGACAATATTTCTGTAATAGAATTGCGTCCAAACAACTCGGCATTCTCAAGAATCAAATTCCTCGTCGATGAGTCAACAGGATAGCCTTGACCACGCATCCATTGTAGCAAATGAAGAAGCAGTTCCTTCTTTTCGGGTTGCTCAATGTAACGAGAAATCGCCATGTGAAATATGTCCTGAAATAGAATGCAAAAATCAGAATCAAAAGTTGAAAAAAAAGTATTATACAGGCTCAGTAATTAAATGATTACCTGATCAATCTTGTAACTAGAGCTGTGGATAGACTTGATCACATCATTTATCAAGTTTATATTGCCTTTTCTCATAAAGGTAGTTGTAAACTTCCTAATAGCAGACTCAGATATATATTTTGCATTGTCCTAAAAAATGTGAATAAATTTATCAATATATATAGCAGGAATCAATAAACTATTGAAGAATTGTCGTGACAGAATCATACCTTGACCAGAACATATGCGTCTTTAAAAAGCCCACCCGCGAGTAAAGTATGTAAAATCTTCTCGTGAAGGGTCTTGTTTATTGTTCTCTTGCTATACTTCAACATACTGTACACTGAAAATGCTTCTGCATGGGCACCGGTTTTACCGAGATGATGGATCAAAAAAACACAGAGATCCTGTACAAGGAAAGCCTATTAGAAATTTCGACCATAAATTATTTCACTCAAGCTAACGGAATAGAGCAATCAAAAATTCATTTACTTACATGCAAAGTTGCAAGGATATACGCATGTAATTTTCACAAAATTTTATATATATATATATATATATATATATATATATATATATATATATATATATATATATATATATATATATAATAAAAATAAAAAAATAAAAATTAGTCTTTGTCGGTTGATACTAAACAGATAAATACAATCATACCAATTTTGCAGGTGCAAATAGGAAATGACAATCGCCTAATAATAGAAATGGACCGTTGATTTTATTATTACTCGACCGGGAAGCAAATATCTAACGACAATAATATAAACGGAAGAAACATTCTCATCAGCTAATCACGTTAAATAAATCTTAAGCAAAAAATACAACAAATTAGGGGCAGAAATTGGAACAGAATTTTCTAATCCTGCCAATTCCAATCTGAATGTTCTCGATTTTGGAATAATATTTTTCATTCCGAATTCTGAAAGTTCTGATTTCCAAATTTTCCATATTTATTTTTTGGAACCAGATTGGAAGAAACTGCACTTATAACCTCATTATTTTTATGTGTTCTATATTATAGGTGACTAAAAAATTGAAACCTCTAAATTCCACCGATTCTGCTGCGGAAATTTCTGTTTTCGGAACAAGGTTTTTTATTTCAATTCTCAAAATTGTGATTTCTGATTTTTCAGGTTTTTTATTTTTTTGGAAAGGAATTGGAATTAGTTTTTCACTTCCGAAAAAAATGGAGTTTTTCCGAAAATGATACTTCCGGCCCTACAGCAAATATACGAAAAGGCAATAATAAGAAAATCGAGCGAGGCTGAGCAATGAAGCATCCAATTTATTTTACCTCCTCAAGCTGATGACCTTTCTTGTGCATGTCCACCATCGTACGATAGGCGAGCAAATACAACTTCTCCTTGCAGAAATACTTTATTAAAATGTGAAAGGTGTTCCAATCAGGACTAATCGATGACTCATCCATTTTCTTCATCGTCTTCATCACATTCTCCATTTCTCCTGATCTACAATATGCACAGAGCATCGAGTTCAAGATAACCACATCGTACTTGTCGTACTTGGTCTCAAATTCACAAGCCAACATCTTTGCTTCTTCGATGAGCCCGCTGCGGCAGAGGGCTGAAATCATAATACTGTAGGAGAAACCGTCTACACATGTTTTAAGCAAAGAATGTAATTAGTATGATAAGTAAACTATTAAGTAGGATCAAATTATCAAAACCTATAAGATAAGTAAAGAAATGCATACCATTTTTCACTTCTTTTTGCCTCATTTCGTCGAAAAGTGATTTGGCTTCTGGAACTTTCCCAGATTTAGCAAGGCCATCCATCAGTAAACAGTACGGCATCTGCAGGAAGTAGGGATTAGGTAAGCCCACCTATTTGATTCATATTCCAACACTTCACTTGACTTTAAGTACTGATTTTTTGGCAAGACTATAGTATTGATTTTCACATAATTTTGGTACCGTAAAACTTCAAAATGTAGCAACTATTACTATGTGTAATATGATAAAAAAAAATATTGGCATAAATGGCTAAAATGTTTGATATTTCGTCAAAAAGGTGTTTGAGTGGTGGACTCTAACTGGGCTATCAATTCAGACATGGCACAGTAAATAAGTAATATTAACTTATGAAGAATTGAATTTTTTTGTCAAATATAATAACTACCAAAAAGAGTGCAGCTTCCAGGGAAGTGTATCTTTTGACAACTTTTCGTAATAATACCAGCATTAACATTAATATTCAAGTTTTATTTTAGCTAATTAACATCTTTCATCCTTCCGTCCATGTCAGACAGACGCAAAGTTGTACTAGTTATCAAATGAACAATACAAGAGGACAAGTAAAACAAAAAAACATTAAAGGGCCAGATACGATAATCATTTTAAGTTTTAGCAGAAACATAAAAGTAAACACAAGGTTACCTCATCTTCAGCATAGCCTAGAGCTTGCAGTTGATCCAGTAGTTCTCTTGATTTATCAAACAAGCCGCCTTTTACATATACTTTCAGCTGAGTTGTTAGAATAATCTGCAAAAAAAATTATATGCACAACAAACTTGGTGAGTAGATGCTACAATAATTATAATTAGATGTCAATTCCACAATTACAACTGATGTGCGTTCGATACTTATAAATAGATGCATTGCCACTCTTAAGTACAGATTAAAAGAAAAGGAAAAGGTGCCAGCTAATTATATTTTATAATTAGCACATACATTTTGCAGTTTTTATATCCATTGAAGTATGCATGGCTAATAAAAAAAGACGTATAATATAGAAATGTACTAAACAATCATGCTATATTAGTGACTTAATATTAGCATTGAGTAGTTCCATATAATAGAAGTAGAAAAACACCTTATTTAATTCTATACCAGCAGATCTCATTTCTTCGATCAATGCATCGGCCTTTTTGTAGCTCCCATCAATTGCATACGCATTAAGCAAAGAGCTGTAGTGAAACACATTGGGAGAATGACCTTCACTCTTCATCTCATTGAAGTATTTTTCTGCTTCTTCACGTTGATTGTTTGAAGCACAAACTGATATAAGTGTTCCGTATATTACAGTATCCATTTGCAACTTCCTACACTTAATTTCCTGAACCAATTCCATTGCCTTGATGTAACCACCCTTAACTTTGGTGCACCCAGAAAGTAGCTAAGATACAGAAGATCACAATTATAAGGCCACCATATACAATAACTATGTGTGTGTGTGTGTATGTGTGTGTGTGTGTGCATGTGTTGCAAATAAGGTGCAGCTATTTGCATGTGTTGCAAATATCTCTATATATGTATTTTTGTAGACGAACAAAAAAAAAACCCAATTAACCAAAATATCCAAAATATATTTTTCAGGAAATCGAGATTGGAGTAGCATACCGTACTATAAGTCACAATATCAGGTTCTAAACCAGCCTGCTTCATTTGATTAAATAGCTTAAGGCCGCTTTCAAACTTGCCACTCTTGATTAGACAATATAAAGTGGAATTACAAACAGAGACGTTGGTCTTTGTGGAGTCGTCTTTGATGCTGTTGTATATCTCTACGGCCTTTGTAGCATTAGAATCCCTCCCAACAAACTTTATATAACTGCTGTAGGAAGCAATATTAGTCTTCCCATGCTGCCGCATCCAATTAAAAAGCTGCAAATATATTAACTAAAAATATTACCAAAACAAAAAGGAAGTGATTTGTGGTTTTTTAAAAAAATCTGAATAGTAAGCACTGACATGAAGAGGATAAAAGTTTGCTTTAACATAACTTTGCATGATCACCGCTGCTCTATCAGGTAAAAATGCTAAACCATGCCTAGAACTAAAAACCGTTAACAAACTCGATCCATTTTCTCAATAGAGATCTGCCAATTTTTGGTCATTCTAAAGTTTAATACTAAGTTGTTCAACTACGATTAGTCTGGTCATAATTCTAGGGAGATAGAAGATCTTCACAGATTTAAATGGAATGCTAAAACACGCCTGATATGTACTGTCATTGTTCTACCACATATACGAATGAATACCTAAAAAAAGCTTGTGCTTCTGTTGACTGTTTGAGCTTAACCAAAAGACTGATATAGTCCGAACTAAGTGAACAACACTCCACACAATTACTTCTGAACTAAATTATAATCATCAATTTTGTGTAATTTGCATAAGGTATACATAAGTACTCAAAGTATAATTTACTTAAATCTTAAAATTTGCCACAACACAAAACCACTAAGGAAGAAAGACGGATAAATATCTTGACAGCATACGGTGATGAAAACACAGAGTGCAATTTACATTTTATAAAATCCCAATTCGTCACGAACAATAACGAGAGAACTAGAATAGGCAACAAACACCATGTCAAAATAAAAAATAACGGAAAGAAATAACAGAAGTTGCTAATCCTTTGAAACCTGAGAAAGATCCTTCCATCGGTATAGCTTCCCGAAATGACGCAACACGATATTCAGATCTTGTGCCTTCAAAACTTCTCCTGATCTGTAAGCAGAAAACGAGGTTATCTTTTTCCCATTCCTTTTAGTCCCAATGCACTGCTCAATATCCACAGAGAGGTTAATTTTTATCTACAATAAGCCAATTGTATCTGTAAAAATTCAAATTCCATGCAATATCTGAACCAATCAACATATGACGTCACAAGTATGATTCTATTCAAAAACCTACATTGCTAAATAGAACAGCAAATCAATGTGCCTCTTCACAAATTCAGTAATTCATAACTAAACATTGGAGTGAATTTCAATAAGGGAAAACCCTAGTGAACGAAACCTCGAAAGAGCAGATGCCAGTTCGGTGGAATCCTGAATATCCGTAATTGCCGATTCTCTGGCTTTACGTGAGGCGGATAGATTATTCGGAATGTTTCTGGTGACATTCGTCGGGTTTCTCGGTGCTCCACTGTGCTTTTCTGTGCCGTTCGGAGGTGCACGAGTCGCGACTCTTTGCGGCGGCGGCGGCGGCGGCGTTGCCAATGTGGTTGCGGGGATGTGTTTGGAAATTTTGGCGGGTCGGGTTGTGGATAAACAAGATACGGGTTGGAATCCGTTTCCCAGCACAAAGGAAACCTCCATTGGAGCTGAATAGTAACCTAAGAAAGTCTTAAACGGAGAGAAATGAGTATGGCGAAGTGGTGACTGCAACTCTTGTATTATCGGACTGGTTCTGTTGTTATTTTGGTATTATGAGAATCTAATTTTGGGATAATGGAATTTTTGTTATTTTAATTGAATAATATGATATATTTAGAAATATAATAAGTTATGGCTCACGAGTATAAACGAATTCTGTCGAGTCGAATGCTTACTCATTCAACTCATTTTATTTTTTTATCGAACATCGAACGAATTTTAATCGAGTTGAATATGTATCGAGCTGGAATAACTTATTTTGTGTGTATATTTCATTTTATTTTTTTTAAACGAACTTTATAGCGGTAACAGACGAAATGTGTATCTAATTTTCATTCAACTATGTAATTAATCCAATACTCCATCAAGTTGATTCATTACTTAAATGTAATGGATTAGAAGGTCTTCTAATTTTTTTTTTTTTTTTTTGATCAAGAAGGTCTTCTAATTTAATTTATTATATTTATAAATAAGTGAATAACGTTTGTCTCTATTTTCTTTTAAGTGACGTTTAAGTAGTTATTCAACAGTACTAATTTAGGGGGAGAAAAAGTCTTTATATGACAAAATTGTCCATTTGTGATTTTTTTTTCTTCTTCTCTTTCTCGTTTCATTAACATGTCGGTTGATGTAGCATATATAGCTAAGATTAGAAATAGAGGAGGGTAATGGCTTAGAAGTGCCGAGAAGTCTCGATACCTACAAAAAAGGAGTGCTGGGGAGGAGTCTCCCACGTTAGCATTTCGACGATCAAATTAATCAAAATCTAAGTAGAGGGAACAATATACAATGGGAAAAATAAGCTGATAGTAATGAATCTTTCTCGTACCTCAAGATTGTTATTTATACATGCCCAATGGATGAGCCGGTGGGGCCATCTTCTTTTTCCCATGTTTCGATGTGGGGGTGACACGACTTCTTCGAATTGTTTGCCTATAGAAGGCGAACCTTCTTTCAGCGTTGCGGGCTGAACTATCTCATGATGCGGAGTATTCGCAAATGGGAGAAAAGTTTGTGGTCGAGCTCTCCCTTCTTTGGATCTCTTGGGGGAGTTCTTCCTATCTACATGACTGCAGGCTTTTCGCCTCTATCGCAACTGCGAATGCAATCACATATATCAGTTGTCGTCTATTTCACATGAAAAATGTGTATGAAGCTGGGAATGCGCTGTCTTTTCATTGGCCTAGGCTTATGTTCTTGGGCTTTTTGTGCGAGTTTATTAAGTGAGCTTCTAAAGCAATTAGGCCCATATCATCAATAATGTCATGTACATTCGGATAAAATAATTTGTTGTTTTCATTAAAATTGTAACCTAAGAAAATATGTGAATATATATATATATATATATATATATATATATATATATATATATATATATCATTGTTAAAACGAACATTTAAAAAGAAACAAATTATGTAATACAATTTGTTTTGTGGAATGCCACGATCTATTAATACTACCATTGAGAATAGACTTGATTGTTAATCTAAAAAACTCTAATGTCATTTTCGTAATTATTTAAATTATTATTATTTTTAATTCTTTTCCACTCTCAAATCAAATTTGTAAATATGTAAGCAAAATCCTAATAGATTAAGATAGTGCCCATAGATGGTTAGCAAATTACCCATATTAATTATTATTAAGGTTGGGACTGGGTTGGGTCGGTTAGTTACCAGCCTAAAAACTGAACTCAAACCTTCTGCGTGGTGCTCAAATTTGGAAACCGTTGCCGACCTAACCTTTGTGGGTCGGGTGATGGTTGGCAACCGAATATTTGGTTCCGGAATGGGTCGGTTGATGGTTTATACCCGCAAGGCCGCAACCTAATTAATTAAAAAAAAAAAAAGTTTTGGAGTAAAAATAATAAAATATCCACATTCTGCGTAATGTCACGGTGCGGTAATCATTTATCAGTTCAAAATAATTAATAACAATTTAACGAAAAAATATAATTAGGAATTCAAAGTAATTTCAAACATGCACAAGAGATTTAGTCGATTTCTGTAGACTTTTTGTTTAAGCTTGGACATAAAGAAACTGTTGGAAGATTTAGGTCATTTTGTTTCCTATGTTGATTGCTTTTAAAATTTAAAATAATAATTATTTTGATAATTTGAATAACCACTTGAGAAAACACGGCATTTATTTTATATTTTTAATAAAATTTTAATAATATAGTTGGATGACCGATAATTATCGGTCAACCAACTTCTGATAATATTAGAAACCACCACCCGACCCATTATAGATGGGTTGGTTGAAATTTTCGACCCGATCCAGTGAGTCAGTAAAAATTAATTATCCACCTAAAAATATGGTCGGTAATGAGTCGATTGGTGGATAAAAACCAACCAAGTCCTAGCACGAAGTATTATAATCTTATGGTAATTCATAATAGTCAATTAAATCAATTACACGACACAATCTATCAATGAGAAATCACAATCTGCAAGTCCATCCACAAAAATCCCTATATGAGGATCAACTATCAAGTAGCCCTCTTCAATTATTACATATTGTAGATATTTATAAGGAGACCAACTATTTTGTGGGCCTAAATCTATTTCCTTGAATTTGATTGTCTTGTCTTTTTTTTTTTAATTATTATTTTTTATTTTATTTCTAATTTCATTGTATTTAGTACCAACTTGAACTTGATAGTTCATTTTCATCTGGGTCTGAGCGTCAAAGAAAAGGATAGAACCAGATGCTGCATGCATATAAATCAAGATTACATTAAAAATCATTAAAAATAGAATATATCACATAATAATTAATAATAATATCAGATGGACTTAAATTTCAAATTATTCTCATCTCAACCATAAATATGTATACATTAATTATGTCACAAAAAGTAAATATACTTTAAATTAATATATATTTTTTCATTAAATTCTTTGAGTGTCTTTGTCCTATTGTCTTTTTCTTTGCCTTTTTTCTCAAAACCAATTCAACCACCATTTTACCAAACTTCTACATGTTTTAGTTACGTATCCTAATTCATATGCTAATTGAATTAGAATTAGAATTAGAATTAGAATTAAATGTATTGATTTTTTACCTAAGTTTAATGCTTAAGTTTGTTTGAATTTTAATTTGTTGATGTATCAAATTGGCTGAATGATCTGTCCAATATTGACTTCGAACGAATTATAACCAAGCAAAAAAACAAATCGAGTTGAATAATTTAATATTTTTGCACCAATTTTATAATGTTTTTTTTAAGTCAAATTTGAGCATGAGGTTCGTATTTGACTTAACGAAAATGTAGGTTTCAAGTTTAACTTATTACGTTAACTAATTCAATTTTTAAATTCCTAAAGTCGAACTTAAATAATATTGGAATATCTCCTACATAGTGTTTTTAGTGAGAGGTCGAGTGGATGAAAATTGAAAATCACTTTGATTATGTATTGTTATTGTGAACCCACATTATAGAATTATTTAAAAAGAATCGAACTTTTAACGACGAACCCTAAATTAAATATCGAATAGTGTAATTTGATCAATTTTTTTTATTGGAACAAAGTGTAATTTAATATTAAAAGTAAAATGTATTCTATTTTCCACCAAGATATTTCAAATGGCAAGTGGAAATAAAATAAACTAAAAAAAATTCCTATTGGCTAATCTTGTAAGGATCTAATTCTTATTGGTTGACCAAAAAAAATATATAAATAAATAAATAAATTAGAAATGAAGCAAAAAATTAACGTTGTTATTCATTTGTAGTTTTATGTTAAGAATATATTCGCGGCATCGTTAATTCACAGCCGTCCATTATTTGATAATAAATATATATAATATATGATATGACATTTATCTCCGTACCATAATTCATTAATTCGATTATTAAAAATAAATATTTAAATTACTGGATGGCTGCATGTTAATTAAATATTGAAATTAAAACGAACTTAATTAAATGTGACATGTCATTAATTATTCAGACTACGTTCGAGTCATGCATGGGTGTGAAACTATTTCTAAATATATTGGTTAGGTGGACAATTTTATATTTTAAAGAAAGTATTATTCTAAATAAATTTAAAATTAAAAAAAATGATAATTCTTTTCCCTATAATCAAGATAGAAAATTAATAAAAACATATTCATAACTCAACATTTATGAATATATATTTATGAATCAACATTGTAAATAATTTAATGTATTCTTATTACTTTATATTAGACCAATTATTAGGTGGATGAATGAATGATTGAGAATTATTTCGAATAGTGGGAATCAATAATTAGAAAAAAAAAAAATCACCGATTTAATTACTTTCTTTTTTTAATATTTAAATAGTTAAAGAAATTGCTGGCGATATGACCATATGCTTTACGTGGTAGATACTTCTCTACAGAGACACTAATCCCCTACAACGCGTCGCACGTTACTGTCGGTACAGCCAGCCAAGCAAAAACATTTTACTCAACTGGGGCCCACGTGAATGACGGCACGAGGAAGTGGGTCCCACGAATTGCATGTTTGCCACGTCTGCACCCCCTCCGAATTCTATAAAATCCCGCCCTCATCCTAATTATTGAGCCTTTCTTCACTCGTTAGTTACGGCTGGAAAAATAAATAATAATAATAATAATAATAATAATACAGATAAATCTCGATTATTTATTTGCTTAAATTAATTAATTTCCTGTTCGGGAAAAAAAGGATAAAAAAATCAAAAATCAAAACCAAATCTGCAGAGCAGTTCTTCGCTTCTGGGAGTTTGCAACTGTTTGCTTGAGATCGAATTTTTTAGTACTACGGTGAGCGTTTTTTTCAATTCCTAATTCGTGTAATTAATTAATACATATAATTAGCGTTTGAGATGGAGTAATCGAGTGTTAATTGGTGATTAATTTGCTGGTTAATTTGATTTTTTTGATTCTGAGAAGTTTTATTTAACTTCGTATCTGAATACTGTGCGTAGTTGGTACAAGGGGCTGTTTGGCAGGATTATAGCTTTAATATGAACAGATTGTAGGTTTTTTTTTGTTTGTTTGTTTGATTGAGCGTATCAATGTTGAAAAAACCATTTGATCCTTACTCTTCATTTTTGGTAATTGGTACTTTTTTGTGGGGTTAAGGATTCGGTAATTATTTTATCGTAATTTAATCAATGTTGCTTCATGAAGTATTGTTGTTTGACTTCTCTATCAGGGATTAGGTGGAGTATTGGGTGTCGGTTTCGGTGAACATGGGAGAAATGCAATTTGGCAGGTAATAATTTATCTCTTATGAGTTGCTCCGATCAAATAGAATTTGGCCGATTACTTAATTGAACAAGTCTTATGCATTATTGATGCAGTATCTCACTGTAAATAGGAAAATATGGGAAAATAAGTGAAGTTGCGTTGATTTTGTCTTTGTTGCACATTCAAAATTCTGCAGGTAAATGAACTAGGAATTGCCGTTTGTCATGGAACTAGAGGAGAGGTACGAATTGCGAACTTTTTTTATGTAGTTGTTTTTCGAAATAATCTGAAGGATTTTGTTTTTATTTTCATAGTGGACTAGATAACAATGCACTCGTAATTTTTATCTATAGGAGTTGTGAAAAGATTATTTTGAATGGAGATGTGTATCTTGGTGCTGTCAAGGGAATGACTCCACATGGAAAAGGTAAATACACATGGTTGGACGGAACAATTTACGAGGGCGACTGGATAGAAGGGAAAATGACGGGAAAAGGGAAGATATATTGGCCTTCACAAGCTACATTCGAGGGTGATTTTTCGGGGGGGTACCTTCATGGTTTTGGAACTTTTACTGGTTCTGAAGGGTCCTTTTACCGAGGTTCTTGGAAGATGAACTCTCAACATGGCATTGGAAGGAAGCAGTATCGAAATTCAGATATTTACGACGGTTGTTGGAGAGAGGGAGTGCATGAAGGCAGTGGTAGGTATGCATGGAGTAGTGGCAATGTGTATATTGGAACATGGAAAAACGGAAGAATGTCCGGTAGAGGGATTATGAAGTGGTTAAACGGAGATCTTTTTGACGGATTTTGGTCGAATGGGTTGAGGCACGGATCGGGCTTGTACAGATTTGGTGATGGAAGTTACTATTTCGGAACATGGTCTAAAAGGACTGAAGGATGGACCTGGAACATTCTATCGTGCTGGAAATAAGCATCTGAGCAAACTTAATCTCGGAGGACACAAAGTCAAGAGGAGGAGACAGCTGCACAGTTATTTATCAAACGAGTCGGAGGAATCTGGTTTACCTAGTGTAAACCGGACCCTTTCTGAAAAGATTTCGTCTAGTTTTAGGAGGGATTCCGCACGATTTTCGCATGGAACTACATCACCTGATGATCTTAGCCGCACTGGTTCAATGAGAGAAATTACGTCGGATGAGAAATCACAAGTCGTATCTGTCACCTCTAATGATGGCCGAACCGAGTTTGCAGATAATAGGACTTTGGCCTATGAGAGGGAATATATGCAAGGAGTCCTTATTAAAGAAAGGATTAGAAATATAACTAAACTCTCTCACAAAAGTAAGCAACGGCTCAAATTTTCGAAAGAAGTGAAAAGGACATCGTGCATGGACATATATAGAGGACAAAGAAGCCATTATCTGATGCTTAGCTTGCAACTTGGTATCAGGTATGCAGCATACGATCTTGTGTTTATCTATCTTTTGCTATTTGATGTTTCTAGCAGTGGAATATCTTACTTAAGTCTTATATGAAGTTGACAGGTATACTGTTGGAAAGATCACACCAGTTCCTATGAGAGAAGTCAGATCGTCTGATTTTGGGGAGCAAGCTAGAATAAAAATGTTTTTTCCAAGAAAGGGTACCCAACTGACTCCTCCACACAATTCTATCGACTTCAACTGGAAGGATTACTGCCCCATGGTCTTCAGGTATTTATCGACTATTACATCGTTTCATCTCTTGAGCCTTGTGTTGAAAATTTTGGTTAATCCTCTTTGATGGATATTAAACTATTTCTTTCTCTGCTAACCAGAGAATTTAATTTGTGAGTTTTTAGTCCTTTTAGACCATAAGGAATCGTCTTTTAGTTTTTGAAGTTATGGACAACTTTGTAAGATCAAATATTTGATGTGCTCTCCTTTCCGGCCAGTTTTATCTGTCCTTTGTGCGTACGGGTCACATTTTGACTTTGTTGCTGTTTTATCCCCGCTCAGATTGTTGTCTGCTATTTTATGTGAACTGCGTTCTGGCAGCACCTTTAGTGGTAATTGATGGAATGTCTGAATTTATGTCTCTCACTTACAAGTCAGACGTTTGGAATGACTTTGCACTGCCCGGATCTTATTTTCAGGAATCTGAGAGAGTTGTTCAAGCTAAATGCTGCAGACTATATGATGTCTATCTGTGGTGATGATGGTCTAAGAGAGCTCTCGTCACCTGGCAAAAGTGGAAGCCTTTTCTATCTTTCTCATGATGATAGATTTGTAATTAAGACGTTGAAAAAATCTGAGCTGAAGGTATAAACAAATGGAATTAGTTCATCCTATGTATCTCCTTCTGATTGTTTATCTCTCTCTCTCTCTCTCTCTCTCTCTCTCTCTCTCTCTCTCTCTCTCTCTCTCTCTCTCTCTCTCACACACACACACACCCACACACACATACCCCCACACACACATACCCACACACACACACACACACACTAACAAGTACAGCGACACACGTTCCACAAGAACTTGTTATAAACCTATCCTGAAAAGTGCATGGAATTTTATCATTCCTATATACAATTAATTCTACTCAGTTAGTCTGTTCCATTTTACTAATAGAATTCGTTATTTTCATGCATTTCAATAATATATCTATTAGTTTGCTTAATGAATTCCCCTTGAAAATTAAGTGACGGTGCTTGTTCTTAATGATGCATAGGTGTTATTGAAGATGCTGCCTCACTATTATGATCATGTACAAGCACATGATAATACCCTCATAACTAAATTCTTTGGGGCACACAGGATATCATTGAGACATGGAAAAAAGGTTGTTTACCATCCTTAATCGCAATCTACTCTCTTCCTACCGGTACTACTGTTCTTTAGGTTGCTACAAGGTTTATTACTTTTTTGTCTGAACTATGAAGTTGTGATTTGTCTGCATATTTTTTCATTAGGATGGTATTAATTTTAATGTGCAGGTCCGCTTTGTAGTCATGGGGAATATGTTCTGCACTGAATTGCGTATACATCGTCGTTATGATTTGAAGGGCTCGTCTCAGGGGAGATTTACAAATAAAGACGAGATTGATGAGAGCACTACACTGAAAGATCTTGATTTGAATTATGAGTTTCATATGGATAGATTGTTGCGCGACTCACTTTTTAAGTAACTTCCTTCTCTCTCTCTTGGCTAATTATTTTCAGTCAAGTTACTATTTTCTTTGATAACTAGTTACACGTGTCACCAAGAAATCTGACGGGATATTTTATGATTGGTTATGATAGTTAATTTGAAAAGCTTGGCATGTTGGTTCTGTTGTACCGACATATGTGTTCTTAATGCTGATAAAACAGAGTGATCTTCGTCTCCCAAAAGTAGTATATGTAGTCTGCGAAAAGTTGTGGATATTTCGTCTTCGAGTTTAGTTAAGATTTATCTTCTGCTTATCCCGTGTAAACAGTAGGATTGCATCTTTTTATTCTACTTCTTTTTTTTTTGCAGACAAATCTCTCTAGACTGTGGGTTTTTGGAATCTCAACAAATCATAGATTATAGCCTTCTCCTGGGTTTGCATTTTAGAGCTCCTGAACATCTAAAATCGCTTTTAGAGCCTCCTGATGCAGAGCAGGCCGAGAATACGAACCACATGGTTGACGGTGAGTACCGCTTTTTAAATAGCACTATTGGTTTTGACTCCGTGTAGTCTGTGGTGTATGTTAAGGCTTGAAGTTTGAACAAGAAGTAACTACTCGTATATTTTAGCTGACGATATCATTTTTCAACACTAATCATTAAATTTTTATGTGTTTATGTATCTCTGTTCATCGCTTCACGGATAGGGTAGCTACCGCGTGGCCCGATTTAAGCTACCGCATATGATATATTTGTATGAAAACACGTCTATGAGCTGTTACTATACTTGTATATACAGTTGTACAGTTGACTGGTTATCTGCATGCATATGCAGAGTGTTGTTAGGTGAAAAATGTCTTGCAATGTGGTGTCGGGTTTAAGTTTCATTATTTTGTATCAATTTTCTTAATTATCACTCACTCTGATTCTTGAAGGTGTGATCTCACAAGGAGAGCTCTTGATTCCTCCGAGGGCTTTGCTCTTAGTAACCCACGAGCCCACCTCTGTCAGTACTGCTCCAGGCCCTCACGTACGAGGAGATGCGTTAAAAGCCTACTCTATTGGTAATAAAGAAGCCGATCTTCTTTTACCTGGTACTGGAAGGTAATCACGTCCGTGCTAAATTCCTCGATAAATTACCCATATTCTGACCACTACTTGTAATTCTTTTACGATGATCAAGAAAACGACCTGCAATTTCAGGTTAAGAGTGCAACTAGGAGTGAACATGCCAGCTCAGGCGAATCACAAACTAATGCAGGCCGAGACAGACTCGGCTGAAGTTGAGCTCTTCGAGGTGTACGATGTTGTTCTCTACCTTGGCATAATCGATATATTACAGGAATACAATATGAAGAAGAAAATAGAGCATGCATGTAAGTCATTGAAGTATGATCATCTTGCGATTTCTGCCGTGGAGCCAAGTTTTTATTCGAAACGTTTTGTTACTTTCCTAGAGAGAATGTTTCCCATTCAACCTTAAAAGAGTTATCACACATCCTGCCTTCTTGTCGCTACGCGTAATTTTTTTGGCAATTGTATTGTTAAGTAATCTATATATGCACCTTATCTATATATATGTAACTTCTGGACTTCAATGTTATGTCTGCATATTGTTAGCTGTGTTTGAGATTCGTTCGATTCTTGAGTTGATGTTTTCTTGGTTAAGTAATTAATCTCTCAGCTTAGTAATGCTAATGGTTGATTAGAAACAAAAGGATGTGTCTTTATCGTTTCGTTCGAATCATTTTTTATATTATACATGTGTTTATGAGAGAGATGTGGTGTTGGAGATTACATATGGAAACTGCAGTGAACATGTATTTGAAAAGTTGAGCATAGATAAGAAAGTAAAGTGACGTAGAAGATTCGTATTAGTTTGTTGGATTTATTATTGTGGATCTTAAATCTCGATGAAGCCTAAATGGTCTAGCAATAATAATAAAATGGAATGGGCTTTGGGGACAAAAAGAAGCTCAAGACGAAGGAAAGCCCGATCGAGAGAGTATAATTGCCCTAGGATGCCTTAGGAGACCTGCAAAAAAGAGAGTTTTTTCCGGTGTTAGCATTACAACGGTTAAGGCAGTCGGATAGAGTGGAACACGATCTCTTTCTTGTAGAGGTAACGGAATAGTGTATTTAATGTAGTATATGGAGAAAAGAAACCTGTTTTTCCTTGTATTCCACATTTGTATTTATACTTGCCATAGGAATGTGTAGAACGCCTTTCTACTCAAGTTACGATGCACGTGCATGGTGACGTGACTTGCTGCGAGCTCATTTTACCTACTGAAGACGATCTGCTTCCTCTCACTATGACCTGGGTCGTCGCTCCGTGATTGCTCTTATCTATCCGAAGCGAGCTCGTTGTTGATTGGTGGGCCTCTTTTGTTCACGTCACGGTGCAGGCTTTCCGCCCATATTTATGACATTGTGCCAAAGGTAGTCACATCCACCACTTCCACATACCGTATGTGCAACTATTTGGTAGGTTTTAGCAGTTGTAATGGGTGAGGCGACCTTGAGCCTGAACTGCTCTTGGGCTTTGTATATGACTATTAATACAATATGGGCTTTTGGACAATGAGGCCCATATTAAATGCATACGAAGAACATAAAAATTGAGATATCACATATTCATGTGACTAGCAGTTATTTGAAATTGTTTTTCTCATTTTATTTGTTCGACAAACTGCGTCCAAACTCCAAACATATATGTGCACCGAGTAAATTTATTCTTATGCTTCACACACCACACACTCTATTTACTTCATTAACTAGGTGACCGAAATTATATATTTTAGTTTCTTTTCTTTTTTAAATGTGGGCGTGTGTCCGTTTATATTGTCATTTGTGTCGATCAATTATGCCCGTTTGAACATATATTAAAAGAAATAAAAAAATAATGCTCATTTGAAGAGCTTAGACAGACGCAAGTCAAATATTTGAAGAAATCAAGAAGTCGTGCTAGTGTTTGACTAAGTAACGTATATGATGTTTAAGATGCTAAGATTTCAGAAAAGCCTAAATAAATGTGACAAATAGAAGCGTTAGGCCAAAATTATTATATTAAAAGATGAAATTTAAAGATTAATTTATTATTTGAAAATTCGAGTATAAGATTTGTTAATTGTAGACTCGTCGTTGAAATCGAGATTTTCAGGCACTTAGGACAAGAGAGTTTGTATGTTAGTCCCACAGTTTTAATATCTTCTATTTAAATATAGAGTAAATTACGGCTACCAAGAAAAAAATAATTCATTTTAGGGAATTACAACCATCCTTTAACTATAATCTTCTTGCATTCAAATTTAGTCGAATCTTCTAAATTATGTGGAATATTCTCCAGTTTATGCACGTTTTACACCATTCGAGCTCCACATTTTGAAACAAAACCATTACTAGATGTGTCTCTTGGCTTATAAATATCAAATTGTGGTGCATAAGAAACTGCATTTTTTCTCGAAAAAAAAAAAGAAACTGCATTTGTGCACATAATGAGTACAAACTAGAGGACATTTCACAGAATGTCCTCTAATCCGTAATTTAACACTATAAGAGTGGGCGTGTAAGAAGATTCATATTTGATAGACGATTGTAATTAACCAAATAAAATAGTTTTTTCGTAATATGACCTTACCTCAGGAGGTGACCGTAATCCGTAATTTACCCTATAAACATAAAACCCTAATTAACTGTTTCAAATTAACTGTCACTTAAGAAACATTGTTCTAAATTATTTGTCACACTTTCGAATCACTCTTGCATTCAACTTCTGTGTTTCCTATTTAATTTTTTTTTTTGAAATTTTCTGTATACATAGGGTGATTAGAAAAAGATGCTGGTAACATAATGTCACAGGTTGAATGTGTAAATTAAATGGAATTAAATTGGTGGGTTAGGTTTCCCAATATAATAATAATAAAAGTCACAGAAATTGGGCATGAGATGCTCCAAATTGATTTAAATGCAAAAAATGCATTTATTGCATTTACTGTTTTGTTAGAGGTAGTGTCACAGTTTCAGTACTCTCTCTCTTCTCTTCTTTAACCCTACCCTTTCTATCAACCTCTTTTATTATTCTTGTTTTTTTTCAAACATATATATATATTGTATTTCTTGGAGATGGAAACAATTAATTAATTAATTAATTAATATGAGATTAAATTAGTGCACATGACATACGTCTTTTCTTGGGTGTCACTGTGTGTGTTTTGTCTAAAAGACTTTGATGTGTTTGTGTGTACTCTGATTTTCTGACTCTGTGCTTGTGTGTGTGTGATTAGTGTGTGTGAGAGAGAGAAGAGAGAGAGAGAGAGAGAGAGAGAGAGAGAGAGAGAGAGAGAGAGAGAGAGAGAGAGAGAGAGAGAGAGAGGTGAAAAGAACAGTGGAAAAGAAAAGTGGGAATAAGTCAACAGAGGTGGAAATGAAATGATATATAGGGATGTTGTTCATCTTTCTTTCAAACCCTAGTTCCACTATATATATATATATATATATATATATATATATATATATATATATATATATATATATATATATATATATATAGCTACTAGTAGTATAGTACTCTACTACTTCCCTTGGCTGTTCAAACCCTGGAAACAAATTTAACACAGAATTCCATGCTAAAATAAAAATAAAAAGTTGTTTTAAAAAACTGACTGAATTTAATCCAACAACAACATTAACATAAAACAAAATTAATTAATGAAATATATCAATATACAAAATTTTCAAGCAGCAGTAATCACTTTGCATCTGAATAATCAATCAATCATTGATCAATTGCATTGCTGCATATACATATCACATCCCATTCGCCTCGCCTGCATACAAAATTAAACAAAGAACACATGTATGTTAATTAATAATCAATCCAGTCTTTTGACAATATTATTAATTTCAAGCCCACAAATCATTTATTTTCAAGAACAAAATCCACAGGAATTAAAATAAAAGAAAACTCCCATGTACCTAAAAAGGAATATAATTAATCATTAATTCATCAAAAACAAACAAACAAATCCACACACACACACAGAAATGAGAATATTAAACCAAGAACACATATAGCCATATATATATATATATATATATATATATATATAACACAATTAATTGTGATGGAAGAAAAGGGGATTTGAGAGGAATGAAGCCTGGTCCGATACAAATCACAGTTTAGGTAGAGAAAGAAAGAATGAATAAAACTGTGGTGTGCATCGAGCCAGCCAACATCCCACACAAACCCTTCTTCCGGCCCCTTTTTTTATTACATTATCAATCCATCCACTCTCCCTTCATATATAATCTCTAGAGAGAGAGAGAGATCTAGAGAGAGAGAGAGAGAGAGAGGGGGGTTTTCTTTCTAGCTAATAATACATAGATGATAAATGTATTAATTTGTCTGGTGAAAACCCTAGCAGAAACTTGCTGATTTATAGGAGAGAGATAATTGATGGTTTTCTTGGACGATGGGGGGCGGGGGCGGGGGCGGGGGCGGGGGTCGGTGCAACGTGGTAGCTGATTGTGGTTCATATCAAACACACTCTCTATTAATTCTACTACCCAATAATATTAATAACTAATTCCATACATATTTACCATTTATCTCACTTTCCAACTCATATTATTATTTATTTTAAAAAAAAAACAAATATTAATTATTAAATAAGAATATTGAAGTTAAATATTAAATCTTCAAGAAAATAAATAAATAAATCATTTATTATCATTATCAATATATCAAGCTTATTTGCTGCAGAAAAAAAAATAAGATTTTATGTACAAAATTAACTATATAAGTTGATTTTTGTATTTAGTTAGTTATATATTGTTTTTCAAGTACAATTATATACTGAAAAAAATCTTTATATATATATATATATATATATATATTAATTCATTAATGTGTAGTGTTATTTTTTCTATTAATTATGCCTTATTTATTTCATATAAACTCTGTTATTGGGTGATTTATAAACATTTTTTTAGTTTATTACTCTGTGTAACGGTGAATTTTACATAACGTTGATTTTTTATACACGTTAGGTAATTGTTTCTAACACGTGTAATGCTTTGATCTAACGAATTTGGCGGACGATGGGGCGTTGGACTATAATTAATGATTTGTGTCTCTTTATTTCGTGATGTATACATGGAATTAACCGAGTGACGTATTACTATGATTTCAATATTTAATATTTTCTTTTTTGAATTTTGGCCGATCAAACTTTTTTAGTTACTTCACATAATGTTGATCTCTTATATTCGTTATGCAATTCTTTGTGACACGGGTACTACTATAGAATTAGGGAATGTAAAAATTAAAGTTGTTCCAAAATCGAAATTTTCTGAATTGAAATCAGCTTCATTTTTTTTCACCTATAATATAAAATACATAATAATATTGATATTATAAGTTCAAATTTTCCGATATTTTTTATGGAATTATTTTAAAAAATTAATGAGCTACATGCCCCACCCACTCTTTACTCCTATTTGATAGCATCCAATGTTTTCGAGTAGGCGAACGGGAAACGAAACCTCACACGTATACTCCAATATCAATCCAAAAAAAAACCGGGAAAAAATGATCAAAATCTCAGAAATTCCAACTTCAAAATTGAAAATATTCAAATCAAAATCGGGTTAATTAAAAAATACTCTTTCCAATTTTCACCTATCTCTTACAATCCGAAATATTTTAATTAATATATTTTTGACTATTTAATGCATATTATCAATGATTAGAGAAGTAAACGAATGAGAAATATTGAAGTAGCATTAATTAATTAATCCTTTCTACAAGAGAAAAGAGAAGGAAAACTAATTGTACATTTATGGGAAAAAAAAAACATGCAATAATTGCAAAATTATTGAAACTACGCTGAGAAAGTTTGTGGGGGCTGAATTGAAAAGATAATATTATTACAAAAAGAAAAATAAATATTGTTAATTATCAATTTATCCCAACATAAGCAGCTTTTAGCAAAACTAAAGGGCTTGTTTGGACATACTGAAACTTGAAAAGGAAAAGAAAAAGGGATAAATAGCACTTACCTCCCTTATGGTTTGAAATTTATGCACACGACCCCCTTTTTTACTTTCAATATAGCACAAGACCCCTTTTTACTTTCAATATAACATAAGACCCCCTTGTATTTTAATATACTCACATAATCTCCTTGTACTTTCAAGAATTACATATTCCTAATGAGGTTGATTGTTTACCAAGTGGAATACCATAGGGGGTTTATGTGTTTATATTAAAAGTACATAGGGGTCAATGTGCAGAAAGTTAAAACTATAGGGGTCATGTGCACAAAACTCAAACTACAGGGAGTTAAATGCTATTTACCAAAAAATCAAAAGCACTCCAAATTTACAAAAAAAAAAAACATATAATTATAAAAAAAAAAAAAAAAAAGAAGGGAAAAAAAACGTACCCGGTTGTCAGCGGCACCGGAGGACCCGGAATACAAAAAACCCATTTACCCGAATAACGAGAACCCAAACAAAGATTCCAAGTTCGTCAACCACGCGTTGAATTGGCGCGTTGATTTGAAGCTCGGGATCCAAAATGGGTAAGACAGACGATGAAGCGCGTGTGGTACACGGTGTAGTCCATGCGTGAGTATATAGGGCTCACAGCACAAGCAGCAGTAATTACTGCGTGTCAGTGAGGAAAAAGCGGTCAAAGCGTAATGTGATTGGTTGGTTTGGGGTCACGATATCAACGTAAGAGATGCATGGGTTTTGGATGAGGAGCGGTTGGGATTAAATGCGGTTGTTTGTTAGATGCTATAGTGAGGTAGTATATTATGCAATTTAATTAATACAATAAATACACAAATAATTGCACATATTTTTTTTTTTATATATATATATATATCATAATTATAATTTAATATATTTTTGAACATATTATATGTTTTTCTCCAAAAAATCGAAATTCCTCGCTTCAGGACCCTGGGTCCCTAGGCCCGACAAGTATTTTTCAAGTAACTTGTGAGACGTGATAAATGTCAATTCATTTTGAATAGTATAGTTTCAATTTCAAACATGAGCTTGACCATTTTCTAGGCTTAATTTGACAAAATTCAAAATAAGTAATTATGCGGTTTTTTAAGTTGGCTTTCTTATGCAACTTGAAATACCAAAACTAGATGTTGGATGAAAAAGATATGAATGAATTAATGAACAATGCTCACAACTTTAACGAACCATCTAAAATTCAAAAGTTAAGTTGCTCATGCATAATTTTGTAAAACGACATCCAATAGCTGATTCAAATTGAAATATAAAGCTAATTAAAAGGAACACAGTTTATGCGCTTCGATTTTTGCTAAAATCAAATTAGAAATTGGTTAAACTCACGTTCGAGGTCAAAAAGGTACTAGTAAAATTGAAGCGGCATTTAACATTTCAAATTACGTATTAAACTTCTATAAATTAATACAGTCGGGACTAGGAAATTCTATTAATTTAGCGAATTATAAAATTATCGAGTTAATAATTTAACACGTTTTCACTGAGTCGGGACCGAGAGAAACTATTATTTAATCGATGTTATTAATTTATTGTATTTACTACTCGTTACGGAGTGATATAGAAATAAAACTTTTACGATTTACTATTCGTTACGCTTCGCAATTTGTAAATATGAAAAAATAATTTGAGAAAATTTAACAATGAATATAAATATTTTACACACTTCACAATTAGAGAAAATTCAAAAATAATAGTATTAGGTTTGAATTAAATAAATAATAAACCACACAGAAACAAACTTCGGTGGGGCCCAAATAAATGTGAGGGGACAAGACGACATCGATGAATGTGGAGAAGGTCAGGGGAGTGGGTCCCACTTCATGCAATCATGTCTTAATGATATGAGTGTCGTTTCTTGTGTACGTATACATTGTATGTATAGGTGGGTGGGGGGTGGGTGTAATTGGAGGGGGGTGGCAATTTATCAGTTTGTTTTTCTGTTTCAGAAATCAGAAATGAAAAAGGACTGACTCTGAATTTGCTTTCTTTTTGTTCAATTTGACTATGGACCTAATTAGGTTATAAAATCAAGACTTCAGATTTTTTTTTTTTTTTTTTTTTCCTTCTCTTTTTTTGAACTGTACTATTGTCAATTTTATATATTTTTTTGTTATAAATTACTATTTTATGGTAAATTATGATTACTTGTTAAAATCACTTTTTGAAATATTAATTGTCAAATATTTAGCTTTTGAAAAAGTGATTTTGAGCTTTTTTTTTTTTTAGCTCAATATCACTTTTGAAGGGTGTGCAATACCATTATTTACTTATACTTCTCTAAGTTATTTTAAACTAAAAAAAAAAAAAAAAACCAATGGACAAACTTCTCTAAAAATATTTTTTTCTTTTTCAAAAGTTTTTGCAAACACACAGAATAACTTGTCCTACAATTAAGTAAAAGGTAATCACTTTTTGGATCCATATTGTTAATAACAAAGTAAATCGGATGAGTAAAGATCACCTTTCTTTTACTCCATCAACTAGGTCATTATTGCTAGATATGTAAACAAGCTGATCTCGAGTTGAGTTAGCCAAATTTTTCGAGCTCGAGCTGGAGTCCAATTTGACGAGCTCCAGCTCTTGAGCTTTCTTTTATAGATCGAGCGTTATCTCATTCGATTTTTTTTTCTTATTATTAATAATGTCATTTTTCAACATTATAATAAAAAAAATATAAATTGAACTGGGTTTTTTTTAAAACTATTTATTATTATTATTTTTATAAACAGAAACCAAGCTTGAAAATTTCGAACATAAGCTCTTATCGAGCCGACTCAGCTCATTCACGCCACTAATTCTTGCATGTCATTTGATTCCATTGATTCATTTAATTGCTTTGTCTTATCTTATTACTATTTCTTGTTACATATATCTTTGGGCCCATAATCAAATTCTCAACCACAGACACACAAACACACTAATTCACAAGAAACTGCCTGAATTTAATTACATATTGCGGTCCCTTGGAAATGCGTTGGTCAATTTTGTCTTAAGTTAGTAAGAATATTCAAAATGCATTTACATTTTTTATATATGAAATACTAAATCCCGCACTAGTTTTACTAAATCATGCACATAACTAAAAATATTTATCTCTCTAAAATATTATCTTCTCCTTTCTCACCCTTCTTCTTTTTCTCTAACTCTTTTCACAAAATCACACTTAACTTCCCTAGCATTCCAAGTCAAAATTTGACAAAAATCTTCACATGTTCAAACTAAAATAAAGTTGGAATTTGAGGAAAAAAATTTGAATTGATATGGATTTGAATAGTTAAATAGGCTTAATAAAATCGAATAAATATTAATTAAATCAATTTTTATGATTATTCACGTAAAAAAATAATGAAATTTGAGTGATTTAAATAAAATCATCTTAATTTATGTGTGCAATTTAGCACTTCTAACTAAAACTAAAACTATCTTATCTATATTTTTGTTACCGTTAAAAAAAGATAAACATATTAACCTAACTACAATATCCAATTCAACTTATACAATTTAAGTCGATAAATGTTAATAGTATTTCACTATTAAATATTAGTGTAAATTACGACCACCTCTCAGGCAAGGTTAAATTATAAAAAAACCCTCATATTTGGATAATTACAACCACTCCTTAACTATGAATCTTTTTGCACGTCCATCCTTATTGTGTTCAAAATTACATAATCTTCTATATTTCGTAAAATGTTCTCTAATTTCTATTCATTTTGTGCAAAAACGCAGTTTGTGATGCATCACAATCTAATATTTACAAGTCAAGCAACGACCTTACCTCAGGGGTTCCGTAATTTACCCTAAATATTATAACCTTACACAACGCACGAGATGCAAGAAATACGCATTACCAACAAAGAAAAAGAAAAAAATGACATAAAACAATAACAAATATTATCAATCACCAGAAGTGATATTAACTTGCTAACAAGAGAAAGGATTTTTACTTTTTTTTTTTTTTATAAATTCTTCTCACACCAATACAACCGAAAAAAGAGAGGGAAATAACGAGTACCGATCATTTAAAACTTAGGGCAAACGAAACTTTGGGCCGGGATTTATTCTTGCCCAAGAGCTTCACTTGATTCGCTCGTTCTTCTTCCTCTTGCTGTTTTTTCCTCCTCAAAGCTTCTTCTCTCTGTCTTTGAAGCTCCTCCAATTCTCTATACCGTTCGACCTCCATTCTTTCTTGCTCCAAAGCTTCTCTTCTTTGAGCTTCTTCCACCTTCCTTCTATTCTCTTCCATCACTCTTTCCATCTCTTCTTTCTCTCTCTGTGCTCGTTCCTGTACGTAAATTATACATATTGCCCACATCAAATAATTATAAAAAAAAAAAAAAAATTCAATAAAAAAAAAAACAAGAATTCTTAAGCATATCAAAATACACCAATAATATAAAACTGAATATAACTGCAACAATGTCAATCGAGTTAACAGTAGAATAGAAGAATAGATGTACTAGCCTCTCTCTGACGAGCCTCTACAAGAGCTGCTTCTTTTTCTTTTTCAAGTTGAGCTTCGACTTCACCTACAAGTTTCCTCCTGCCTTCTTCTAGAAGCTTACCTATTTCAAGCTTGATCTTTTCTGAATTCAACCTCTCTGTAACTTTTTTCTGAATCTCTTCTGCTACTCTCTTTGCAGTTTCTTCTTCGATTAATTTTAATTCTAATTCCTTTTGACGCCTGGAAATTACAGTACAACATGTCAAAAAAAAAAAAAAAAAAAAAACGAAAAAAATAAGATTGATCCAAAAGACTTTCTCAAGAGAATCAAAGGTGCTCAAAAGCAAACCACAATCTTCTATTCCTTAAGTTCATAACCAAAATAAATGACAACTAACCTCCAGTTTGGAGAAGGCAATACAATATACATGCTTACGCTTTTAAAGCATACCAATAACTGATTCTTGATCCAAAATATTTCAGTTCAGATCTGGTCAAGAGTAGATTAACGAGGCACCCAAATGGATCATCAAAATAAACAATATCAGAAACTTCCTTCAATTAATCCTGTGGAGAAGAGCGTCAAGTAAAATGCAGCAGTTCTAATGCTAATTCCTGAAATACTTCAGCTGCTGTAGCAGAAATATTAACAAAGGAAATTGCAATGACATGCATAATTGCAATAACAAGTCCCTGAATGCCCTTCTATGTGCACTGAATGAAAATGTTACGGAATAAACCGAACCAAACTCCTCTCCACCAAGCCTATTTCACAATTAGTTGGGGTGGGCAACAATCTTATTTCACAAATTAGTTGAGATTAGCTATAATAATCATACTTAATTACTTCTCCAGCACAAGCTACTTTTGAAATCAAGATAACAGGCTCTAATTCCAATGCAACGCTCTTTCCAAGTTATTTTTGAGTAACAAGTTTCTTTAGCATGTAGTAGTTTTGCATGCAGGATAAAAATGGGTTGAACAGGGAAAAGGCAATCATAACAATTTATCAAATAAAAGAGAATGAAAAAAGGGAATCATAATGCAGACAAGCGCATAATTTCAGACAAAGCATATTGAAAGAAAAACAAAAAGAAGAGGTAATAAAATGTAATAGCTGTGTCTTTAATAGTAGGTCCGAGTCAAGTTAAAGTACAGGACTATTAGTTGCCAGAAATGTTTTCGGTAACACAACTCAAAAGGATGGTATTGAAACAATAAATATTTCTGATGCTCTAGACAATAAAAAGAATTAAAAAAATATTCAAACTTGAATTTTGTGATAGACATGTAGATCAAAGAGACATGCAACCATAAAAACTATCAAGTCATCCTCTCTGAATACTTAGTCTTTTTTCTATGTGCCACAAAGAAGGCACCACTTTGAATTTTAAGAAGAACAGTAAAAATAACCTCGGAATGCAGAATGTGCCAAAAGAGGGATTAAATAACAAAAGAAAACGAAAGGCGAGAAAGCAAGAAGGTTTTAAAAAATAACAACTAAAGAGGAAAAATATACACAAGTAAAAGAAGGTGCCAACAAGTATCAAGTATTTCGTCAGTAATTAAAATATATACGATCATCCAGTCTATGCCAGGATCCAACAATTAAAACAATCGTAAAGAAGTTCCAATCTGTCACCAATCTAAATAAACCATGTTGTCCATCTCCAGGCGCTTTAGAGGTTTATCATTTGTATTCACAATAATAAAAAAATCAGAATTTTAGCAAATCAAACAAATGAACAAGCACATCAAAAAAGAAATAAGAAAAAAAAAACACCGAGTGAAAAGGAGAACACGAAAGGAAATTGTAGTTGTATTTATACCTTTGCCTTTCCTCTGCCTCTCTTTTCAACTTTTCACTCGCATTTTCCGTCTCTTTTGCACCAGCATGTACCTTGGGAGATGCACTTAGTGGGGATGACGAGGTACTCCTTTTTCTCTGTCTTTTATTTTGTTTTGGTGCAGGAGAACGAGTTTTACGACGTCTTGGAGTGGGAGAACGACTTTTGCGGGGTTGAGGAGATAATGAACGACTTCTTCTTCTGTAAAAATACAATAAAATAGTTGAGCTTCAAATGAAAAGATCGAGCACTACCATATCCCCAATCTTGGCCTTGCAGATTCCAAACCCACCGTCAATACTGAAAGCACATACAGTTACCTCATATATTGCAAAGAATACAGTGGGTGCTCCATAACAAACCGCTAATATCACAATCGAGCAGTGAAATGACACCCATCGGCACCTATCACCTGCTGACTTCCCAGTCAAAAGGGAAGCCATTGTTTTTTTTTTTTTTTTCTCAAACATCAATTATCTTGACTATCTTATTCACTGTCAGTTTTAACAAAAATGTATCTTGAATTCTAATATTTATGTATTTAGGAAAACTTCCAGCATCAAGATTCATCTCAGACATAATACTTTACAATTTAGCAGCTTTTTTTCTTCTGAAAACTGATGAAAAGTATGTCAGATCATCAAATCAACAAGACAACAACCATAAGCATGTAAATATCAAAGTGCTGAAGGTAAGCGAAAACTCTCATATGCAGCAACATGGCATTAGGACAGCAAAGCTACACAATCCATATAAGCATCTGCTAGATCATCTAAAACAAATAAAACCAACACAATGAGCGTTATTACATACAACGTTGCAACAATTTATGTCATGGTTTAATTAACAAAGGCTTCGGCTAAAAAGATAGTTTCACTTTCTACATGTACTAAACGTGTTGAACTCCAAATATTTCAAATTTATCCCATAACTCAACACAATTAAAATTAAATTCTAATTAACTTACACTGCTAAGTAGTCTAATAAAAAAGTAGTCTCTCTATATTTCTTTATTTCACGGCATCTTTATTAAACTTATTGCTCGACATAATTGACATTAACAAAACATAACATATTACAATTACTGTTTGTGTCGAATCAATTTACATAAGATCATCGGCAGCGCCACCTATAGATACAAAATTAGTGATACAAAATTAGTGCAGACGTTGTTCCATGGGTTTTTCAGTCTTCACTTCCATTCCTCTTATAATTCACAGATTAACACACACAAACACACACGCACACTCTTTGATTGTTAGTAATTGAGATCAGAGATAGATAAACCTGTAAAGCAAATGTAAACAAAATACAAGCCTCTGTTACATAACACACACAAGCAGGTGTAAGTAAAAGGGTATCACCTGCTATAAGAATAAGGGGATCTGCTTCTATTTCTCCGGCTCCGGCGTCCATACCTCACCGGAGACGGAGAAGGCGAGTACCTTCTCCGGTACGGCGGCGACCGAGATATTTCCCTGTCTCTAGCCATCTCAATTTTGCTTTTGCAAAATACGAGAAAACACGATTAAACCTGAAACCTGTTTTTACAAGCGCATCAAATTAGCAAAACAAAATCAGAACCCTTTGAAGCTTCGATTATTTATGCATTAATGGATAATATATTAATTAAATCGATTGTCTCAGAAAACCTTCGAACAAATTAGGAATTGAGATCGGCGTTCGTGCACTGCAATCACGGTGTTGGGAAGACGCGAAAAGTAAACCCTAAAAAAGCTTTGAGAAATTGCAGAGGGACGAATTTGCAATATCTAGAAGACTTGTTTGGGATGAAGAATTCTAGTCCAACATATTTTTTATTTTCATTGATGTCAAATTGGAATAGAATTTTTCAAATTTAGCCATCGAATAAAAAAAAATCAATTTTGATTGTTTTTAATTTTTTATTGGAATATATATATATATATATCTGAATTACGTCGATTTTGATCTTAAAAAACACAATTTTGGAACTACTGATTTTATTCTAATTTTCAAAATTCCTATTTTTTAATTTTTTAACTGAATTTATACTGGTTTTTTACTTTCGAATTTTTTTTCTAAGCGTTAATTTCAATTTAAAAAACACATTTTTGGAACTACTGATTTTATTCTAATTTTCAAAATTCCTATTTTTTTATTTTTTAACTGAATTTATACTGGTTTTTACTTTCGATTTTCTTTTTCTAAGTGTTAATTTCAATATGATCCACCTGATTTGTACACTATCTGTGTCGTTGTAAAACATATATAAGTATTTATATGGTGCATACTATATATAATCACGCAAGCAACTCCAGCGCTAAACATCAAAATAGAATCATTACATACTCATTTAATATTTAAGATAATATTTTAATATTCATTAAAATTTATCTTACTCCGACTATGGTTATCAAATTAATTATCGACTGGAAGTGAACACAAACACCACACATGCCTGGAAATACAGCTGATGAAATGAAATCAAATAAAAGTGAATCCAAACATGGCAAACCATACACCAGCAAAATATCATTTCAAGAAAACAAGGTTTAAGTTAGCAATGGCTCATATAAATAAATATAAAAAACGCGACTTAATCACGACTTATAGAAACACATCCTTCTCGAGTAGCTTCAGCACGTCACTTTGGTTGTTTAGTTTAGCAACATCGATAGGTGTCTTTCCATCCAGGTTCTGAAGAGTGCTGCACAAATTCAAATTCAAATTCAAATTCAAATTCATATTCAAAGAAAGGTCGGATGAGTTTTTTTCTAAAAAAGCAAAAACGCTTACACAGCAGCGCCGTTTTTCAACAGAAGCTCGACACACTCCTTTCTGCCATAACCGGCTGCGTAGTGGAGAGGAGTGTTCTTATTCTTATCCAACGTGTCCACCTTTGCCCCTGCCTCCAGCAGAATTTGAGAACACTTGACCTGAAAATGTTGACGGGATTGATAAGATTGATTGAATTGGATATAACATGTTTTATCTTGTGTTCGAGATTTGGAATTCTACTGCATTGCTTTGTACGGTTGTGTAATAATCGGGGTTGAGTTTGGACAAAATATCATTCATATACTTGACTAAAAACAACAATCCACATAGTACTAGTAAATGAAAAATAGAACTCGTTTTCCAATATATAAAGTACCTCGCCATATCCACACGCAAAATGCAACGCTGTCCTTCCCTCGGAGTCTTCTTCATCCTTATCAGCACCTTCACTAAGGGCTTTCTTCAAGCCCTATTGTTCCATAAAAACAAGCCAAGAGTTAATACACTTGTCAAAGATTAGAAACACTTCCAAGAAAATATCAGATCTTAACAAGTAACCCAGGATATATATATATATATATATATATATATATATATATATATATATATATATATATATATATATATATATTTATATTTGTGATTTCGGTGCAGTATAAATCAAAGACATACCTCCACATCACCAATGCTAGCAGTGTGGTGAACAATGGATTCCTCATCATTAACTTCCTCTGTTTCGTCTTCAACAGTATCGCCAGCAGATGTGGCACCTTCTCCACCGACTGCGAATCCCATTGCTTCGCCCAACTTCTGGAGAACCTCTTTATCATTCCAGTACCTGATCACAAAAATGAATTCTTCAAGATTTAATTACAGAACCTCTTTAGATGATATATTAAATTTTGATTAATGTTTTTTTCAAGAAAGATGCAATACAGTTTTATGCATATACTGCTAGGGTAATAAGTCGAAATCAAAGTCGTAGTGAATCATAGATATGTGGCATTCACCCAATATACACAACCTACCTTCGAAATAAAAAATCAGGAAACCGTTTCTGAAAATAAAATAAGTACGGGAACAAAATGTTTGGGGGGAAAAAAAAGGAAAATATTAAACTTATGAAATTAGGAAGTAGGAACATGTGAGATAAGCATCGACAAAACGCAGGTTAGCATTTCTGTAATTGTATGTTGACAAAGTAGAGTTGGGACTGCAAGAGAGTAGTTCATCAGGTCATGTTTCAGGATGGGATTCTTTGGGCAAAGAGGTTCGTCACAAGGTAAGAATTCACCATAAGAATATTTACGTCTTTGACATGGAACAGAACCCCGATAAAAAAATACAAGACAGTTAGGTTGGTCCTATAACTATACTATCCAACAAATTATTATCTCATAAGAAATTAATACGCCCTGTAAGTATATCAAATTATAAACACCAATAAAAGAAGTATGACCTCATCATTGCAGTAGGACCGCCATTCTCGATCTCTTCAAGGATAGGCTTCAAAGATGGATCCTCCTTGACACGAGCCATTCGTTCTTCAAGTTGGTCTTTATTGGCAGGATTTGTGAAGTTTTCAAGCACGCCAGACATGGCTGGATCCTGTGGATAAAGTAAGAACAATAAACTACTAATGACATTTACATCTCAGATAATACTATATTTTACACGAGAGCAGGTGAGAATTTCAAACAAAGAACTACCTGCATTAATGCACTACCAAGCTTCTCAGCCATGTTCATAAACTGTGGATTTTGCATGACTTGTTGCATCGTCGAATAATACTGTTGAGGGTCAAAGCTGGGGATACCCTCTTCAACTGCATCACCTTGGAAAGTTTTCTGAAGCTGTTCCGCCATCTGATTAAAAGAAGGGTCCTTTGCAATCTGTTCGGCTAATTCCTTGATGCTTGGGTCCTGGTAAAAAACAAATCAGAGAATAGAGCACCATCAGACTATCATTGCCAAGTACAATAGAACCTCGATAAATTGATAACCTCGCTTAAATAATATATTCTTCCGGTCCCAACTTGGTGAGAACATGCTAAATTATTAACTCGGTAATTTAATATTTCGATAAATTAATAGAATTTCCCGAATTTCCCTAGTCCCGGCTGTATTAATTTATAGAGGTTTAACTGTATACACAAACAGGAATTTTAGGAATAAAAAAAGAAGTGGTCTGTGATATTATATGCCACAATATAACGCTACAATTCTTTCATGTGTAACAAGCATCTCAAAACTTAATCCCTTGTTTTCTCTTACATACAAAATGTTTTAGAAAAGGGCAAGACTGTTTTCCGATGTGTTTTGCTAATGTGGGTCGAAAACATAAATGTCATTCTAATTGAAACGAGATCATAATTTACCAATCACACAACAACACAACAGAAAATAAAATTGAAACGAAAAAAAAAAAAAAAAGTCATCTTTTCTGTTTAGAAGGTCTAATGAGAACAAGTAGTGCACTAGACAGGTTGATCTGCCAAAAACAGAATAGAAACCTAAACCTGAGCAAATAGTTCAAACAATTCTTTTTTCTTAGGTAACCATTAGTGCAAAAGCTCAGTGATCGAGATTTAATAAGGTTTCCAGCACAGTTTTTCCTTCACCAAAATGGAATGAACAGCATACAACATACTGAGTTGCTCAACATGCTATGGATAAAAGCCTGAGATGAAAGAGGAAAAATACATACATTAAGCAATCCTGACATAGCTGAGAAATCAAATGGATTTGGCATTCCGGCAACTGGCGGTATTGGTGCTGGTGCTGGAGCTGCTCTTCTCTGCGCAGGCGGTGCCTCTGCTGAAGCCGTACTCCCCGCAGCAGCCTTCTCTTCTGAATAGCAGAAACATAATTTTCAAATAGTTAAAAACCACTCAGTCGAATATTTCGCTTCTTTTAAAACAAAATTAAAATCTATTTTCCACTCAGAATTTCATCTTTGGTTCTAATCAATCTCTATCAAAAATTTAGTCCCAATCACTACAGATAAGCATATAGAAAAGAAAAAAATAAAAAACACATCTGGTAACAAGTAATTCTCACCTTTAGGAACCAGAGGAGCTTTTGATTCCTGCAAAATCCCAAAAAAAAATCATCAGCACATCAAAAGCAAAACCATGAAAAATTCAATCAATTCAACTAACGAAAACAAATCAAACCACTCTCGAATTAAACCGGCTAAGAAATCGAGCAGTACAAGGTAAGTGAATAGAGAAATTCGAGATAAAAACAATCAAATTACACAATTAAACTGAAGATAAAATGAATTGGGAACAGTACCTCAGACATTATCGCTGAAATCTGATAGAAGAATTGTCGTCAGATCCTTTGCTTGTAGAGAGAGAGAGAGAGAGAGAGAGAAGACGAGAAAGGGTTTATAAATGAGTGATGTGGTGATGATAGAGATGGGGACTGCGATACACGAAGGAAAACAGAGCAGGTGGGCCCCTTTCAATCCTCATCGCTGATTTTAATGAATGGTCAGATTTAGTTTTCTTCTGATTTGCTTCTTTTTGGATTATGGGCTTTCGAGTATTGGGCTTCTTTTCTATTTCTGTAGAAATATTTATTATATGACTTTTGTTATCTAATATTTTGTATATAAATAAATATTTTTTAAACATATTCTAAAGTGAAAAAATAATATGAAACCATAAAAAATTATAAAGATAAAAGATATTTTGAAATGAATGAAGTATTTTGTATACAAGATTATCATATCATGGAAAACCTTCTATGTTTTAGATACCGTAAAAACATCTTGTTCGTCGTCTTTTTAGATTTCGCCATATTCATAATCACCATCACTTTTCCTTCTCTCGGTCGTTTTTTTAGATTCCGACTCACTCCTAATCACAAAATTTACTTGAGGAAATTTAGAAAAAAGAAAAAAAAAGCACTAAATAAATAGATATCTATAACAGTTAATTAAACGCTTTGAAGTTGTGTTTCAAAATATGATCATGCAAGACATCACAAATTACTTGCGAGTGACCATAATTGCACAAAATACAGTTTAGCTTTTGAGTTTTCATTTCGTGGAAATTCTTTCATGATTTGGTGAGCTAAATAATATAAATCGAGTGAGCTAAATAAGCATATACAATATTATATAGTGTAAAAATTGGATGAGAATGTAATGGAGTCGAGCTCGAACCAACCCTTGTAGATTTGGCGAAAATAATTATACGTTAACATAATAAACTGATCTTTTTATATGTATTTATTATTGTTATATTTTATATGTAGTATGTTTATAATAATAATAATAATAATAATAATAATAATAATAATAATAATAATAATAATAATAATAATAATAATAATAATAATAATAATAATAATAATAATAATAATAATAATAATAATAATAATAATAATAATGATTGATGTGTCTAATCATAAGTAGGCCCATTAACCTAATTAAGATTAGGCCCAATTAATCTAATTGTGTGTCAAAATTCAATTAGATTACTTTTTACCTTTAAAAATGACAACACATTGTCCCACATCGGATTTTTACAAAAGTCCTACCTATTCATCCACTTATAAATGTATGTGTCATTTCACATAGGAAGGTACACTCTAATTCGGCAATTAATTACTATTATTTGTTTATATTAATACATCTTCTGACTTGAGCGTCGGAGGATAATCGTCGGGCCAAACCCGACGTGTCATTTAGTGTTTCAATTGTTTTGTAGGTTAACGAACGGAGCAGTCCCTTCGACTACCTCGGACACGTGGCAAGGACTCACGGCATTCTCTATCTTTGTGGGCTCAAGGACTCTTGGGTTGCCCAATTAGCATTTGAGCAGCATCATTTTGGCGCCGTCTGTGGGAATGCAAACTCGATCACGTGACACTGGAGGAGGTGGTCAAGGTAGCCTTAATCCGCCTCAGCAAGGAGCCGGCGGTGGGATCCTGGATCCGCCTCGAAGAAAGAGGACGGCGGGAGCAACCAACACGGCGGGACCTTCAGTGCCAATCATCCAAATGACGACGGAAGAGTTGCAAGCAATGATGGACGAGACCGCGGCCAAGGCAGCGGCTTGGGCAGCGGCGGACGCAGTAGCTCAGTACATTAGCGCCCAAGGCCATAGTGATTTCGAAGAGCCGATTCTTTCAGAGAGCGACCCCTCGGAACCCGCTCACGTCCACGGGACCCCGCCCATCGTAGAACTCCACAACTCTGAGGAAAGGGTATCGCTTAGCGACCGAAGCATTTCTTCAGAACGGGCTCCCCGTAGGTATGCCCAGCCCCGGTCGCTTCAGCATAGCTCAGCCTCGGACCAGGCTCCTCGAGGAGAAACGCGCGGTCGATCACCACGACCCCTTAGGCAACGGGCTCCTTCAAGGGAGAGAGCGGCGCGAGGCCACCGAGGAAGAAGTGGATCCTCTCGGCCGAGTGTTACACGCCATGAGCCTCGAGGCGATAGACATCACGGACGTTCCTTTCGCCGAGGCAACTCCCCACAAGACGAACATGGGAGTAGGTACTCTCGGGCTGAAGAGACGAGAAGGCACCGCGAAAATGGTAACAAACGTAATTCGAGAAGCCCACGACAAGAAGCTTCAATATCAACCGCTCGGTTTGGAACACTCCCCGCCCGAATAAGCCCTTTTTATTCCGGCTATTATGGAGGAAGTTTTACCGCTCGGATTTAGGATCCCCAATCTGCCCCAATTCGATGGAACAGGAGATCCCCAGAATCACCTTAACAATTTCTTCGCTAAGATCGACCTTTACGGCCTCAGCGACGCCGCCTACTGCAAAATTTTCCAAACTACCTTAACTGATCAAGCACAAACTTGGTTCAACGGTCTACCTGGAGGATCCTTGGATGGTCTAAGCCAACTATCAGAACGCTTCCTTAGCCAGTATTCCATCAACAAGAGATACGCCAAAACCGGATCATACCTCTTCAAAGTCAAACATCGCGAAGGAGAACCGTTAAGGGATTATGTACAACGGTTCGTCAAAGCTGTACACGAGGTGCCCAATGTTAACCACGACCTGCTATCCGACATACTGCAACATAACTTGAAGCATGTTCGTTTCCAAGAATCCATCGCAGGCCGACCCCCGCAAACTCTGGATGAACTTCTGAACCGCGCGGAGAAATTTATCCGGATAGAGGAGGCTGTAGAGATGAGGCTCCCCGTGAAGAGGAGGCGCGAAGAAGAACGCCATGATACAAAAAGGAGAGAAGAAGGACGCTCGAACCCCGCCCCTACCTATCCAAAGTTCACCCCCTTAAAAGCAAAACTCATGGATGTGTGGATGGTAGCGGAGCAGAAAGGTTTAGTCCAACCCCCGAGACAGATGAAAGAAAATACGAAAAGGCAAAAATCGGAAAAATACTGCGAGTACCATCGAGATCAGGGCCATACTACTGACGAATGCTTTCAACTTAAGCAGGAAATCGAGAGATTGATTAAGAAAGGACACCTGGGAGAATTCGTGGATACCCCGCGACACCAGAAATTTAAAAATAAACCCCACTTCCAGCAGAAAGGAGAACATCCCAACGATCGGAAAGATCGAGAGGATGACAATCTTCCGACTCAAGGAATAATTGCAGTCATTTCCGGAGGACCCTCGAGTGGTGATACCCCCAGCGCACGACGCGCGTCAATGCGGGCTGCAGGAGGCTCGTACTCTACGACAGAACGTTCGGCAGAACATGTTTACCATGTTCATCACCCAAGCCCAGAGATTACATTTAGCGACGACGATCTCGAAGGACCACGTGGTGAACACAACGATGCGTTGGTCATTTCAGCATCAATTTCCAATTACTTGGTGAAGAAGATTTTGGTAGACGGCGGTAGCTCGGCTGATATTATATATTACGGCGCTTTTGAAAAGCTAGGGATAGCCAATGCGAAACTCGCGCCCGTGAAAACACCCCTAGTGGGTTTTGCAGGACACGCCGTCGAAGCTTTGGGAGAAATCTCCCTAGTCTTGTCTTTGGGTTCATTTCCACGTCGGGCAACAAACACGGTTAACTTCTTGGTCGTCAAGGCACCATCAACGTATAACGTAATTTTGGGACGGCCAAGTATGAACCTCTTCAGAGCAATCCCATCAACATATCATATGAAGTTGAAATTTCCTACGACTAACGGAATTGGAGAAGCCGTAGGCGATCAACGCGTAGCTCGAGAGTGTTATGCGAATACTTTGAGGGCACCTCAACTCCGGAACAAAAAGCAAGTGGGAGAGGGGGATGACCCTCCCAATTTCCTAAAGAGAAAATTGGTGATGGTTGTTAAAGACAACCTCATCACCCCCTCGACCAATCAAGAAGCCAGCGGCACGAGGCTCACGGCAGTAGAAGAACTGAAAAGGGTAGAGTTAATTCCGGGCGATCAAGATAAACTACTCTGAGTAGGAACCAACCTTGAGCCCAAAACGGAGGCGAAACTGGTAGATTTCCTCCAAAAGAAAAGTGATAGGGAACTTGAAGAAGTATTTCGTTTAGCACCTAAGGCGTGCAACCTTTTTTTCTCTCAATAATAAATCAGGAGCATATCGCACGCTGTGATGCTTAAACTATGGAATAAGTCGGGAGCATACCGCTCGCCGCAACGCTCTAAATTATGTAATAAGTTGGCGGCATATCGCTTGCCACATAAAAATAAATAAAATGTTTTAAGTGGAGGCATAATGCCCCTCCCAACCGTTGTACTTTATGTCATTTCAATTCAATATTTTATACCATTTTAATTTCATTATTATTTTTGTTATTATTATGCAGTGCTTGTTTCAAAGAGTGACCTAACGACACTCAAACAAAAAATATATCATTGATTAAAGCTAAAGGGGAAGATATCAAGGATCATAAGAGTCTAGCCAACTCGAACTTTGTTATCTCGCTCCCCAAAGCTTAAATTGATAGAGAAAACAAATTCTCAAGGACTCTGCAATGCTAAATCAAGAAAAAATGGCAAAACTACGGAGCCCCTACATAAAAACTTGGGGGACTGATCATTCACTAAGTACCAAAAAAGCACGAAAATTGCGAAATGGGAATAAAACAAAAATAAAATTCCATTTATAAAGCAAAAACGTGCAAATAAAAAAAAAAAAAAAAAAGAAAAGACTAAAGTCTTAAAAATAAGTCATAAATGAAATACTACTACTCTCAAGCGAGTAGAAACAGATAAACAACTGCACTACTAGGCAGTCGGGTTAACGCTAGCATTCTCAGCTCCAGCAGCCTCGGGCATCTCATCAAACTCGTCACCCTCAACCAGGGCGCCAATTTTCTCCGCCCCAATTTCTGGCTCAAGTTCCAAAACGCTCGGCTCTATCTCCCGTAGGATAGCCTCTGGGACAAGCTTTGTAGCACGAACTTGACCACGGATATCCCGCACGATCTCCGCAAAAAACCCACTAGCATAACTATCCCGCAGCTCGATATAAGACTCGCTCCCTAAGAACTTGTCCACCACCATCAAACCCAAAGGCGTTTTCAAGACGTCATTCGACCCCTTATGAGCTTCCATGAAAGAAAGCGCGTCAGTCTTCTCATTCTTCAAAGATAGGCTCAGATCCTCAATCCTAGCTTCGGCCTTCAGACGAGCCGATTTTTCATCATCCGCACGTGTCACCAAGCTCTGACATTTCTTCTCCAAGGCACTCAGCTTGCCTTTTTCTTCATCCAGAGACTTCTTCAAACCTTCAATCTCTGAGCGAAGGGAGGCATTGACACCCTGAACACCCGCATACAACGAATTAACGTTCAACTTCTCTGCTTGCATCTTGGCATGCTCAACCTCCAAGCCCCTCCCGCGATCAATAATCAAGGGCACGAAAGTCATAGTCTAAAAAATAAATAAATAAATAAATAAAAGGGGCAGGAGTTATTATTATTAAAAGTAATAATAAATCAAATATAGAGGTGCATGATAAATCCGATACTAACCCGAGCAAAGGAGGACACCAACCCTTCGATCATCTCGTCTAGAGGTTTCCCGGCAAGACGAGTCGAATCAAACTCCGTCGGGAAACCCATTACCTTCTCCATGGCCAAGGCGCTATCAAGAACGTCAAACACCGAACCGCCATTTTGCGTCCTATCAACACCAGCAACAAAATTCCCTTTCCATGCATTAACGGGCGGTAACACCAACTCCTCAACTCCTAAGGTGCGAGGCCTTTTTTCACGCGCGACGATAGGAGCGACACGAGTATCCTCGGATGCGGAGGGGGACTTGAGCTCGCTCAAAGGCAGCGGAGACGCACTCACAATAGCAAGACGACCTTTGTCGGCGGATTTGGGATCCAAGGCTCCAGCGCTCTTCTTCACAGCCACCTCCGGACCACGTGACGGTCCCACCCCATGGACTGGTTTTTTCCCACTACTTCGATCCTCAGCAGTGCCTCTTCCCGATTCCCTTGCCACGGGCCTGGAGGCCGGCGATGTGTTTCGAGACACAGGCTTCGAGGAACCATTGTTCATGCAACAACGTTTGAAATCATTATAGCTCATAGTCTCACCTGCACAACACCAAAACAGCAAATACAACAATATTAGCTTCAAGAAAACTATAAAGAAAAATAACGGAGCAATCAATGCAGCACAACTCCTCTACCCTTAGAAATAAAGTCAAAGGGTCGAAGAAATAATCAAAAAAACCCATTCCGATACAATCCATTTTGAGTCTAAAGTGTTCATTACTCCACTCAACGGGACGCACTTCACCCCATAGAGAAGGAACTTTCCAATCATTCCGCACGTATAGGAACCATTCCTTCCAACTCCCCCACTTACTATCATTTTTCTTCAAAAACTTGCATTTCGACCGAGGATGAAAATAAAAATTAGGAGCTTTATCTCTCAGCGGCTTCACAAGAAACATGGAGTGAAATAAATTCGCCGATATTGGAAAACCCTCAGACTCAGCGCGATGACAAAATCCTTTGAAGTAAAGAAATGCGTTCGGCGTTAATTGACTGAGGCTTACCTTGACATCTCGACAAATTTGAACAAGAACCGGATCAGGTGGCAAAGTGAATCCAACCGAAAATGATGCAAGGAATACCGTAAAGTAGCCATCAGGAGGGGCATAACATCTCTCCCCCTTACACGGAACCAATATCTCAATAGCATGCTCGACACGTAGATAGTCCAGAATCTCGGGCAGTTGACCAACTCTAAAGGAAGAGTCGAAATTTAATTCGGAACATATTCTTGAATATTCCTCAGAAACACTACCGCCGGAAAAATCGGTTAATTCTTCCTCCTCATCGGTCAACACACTCTCGTCCACCTCGAATTCACTTCTTCTCTTCGACCCACGGAGCACGAAATTTTTTAGAGAAAAGTTCGTCCCAAAAACATTAATCCGTCGAGACCACGCCCAAGTCTCAGGATCGCTACATTCTAACTCCACGGAACGAAACTCCGGGCCCACATCAGAGTTGGGAGCTGAAACACGGTGTTCGGCGGAAAAAATGGGCTCCGAACGGCCCTGCACGCGCTCCGCACGCGCCGGAAACGCCCTGGACGCGCCCCCACGCGCGGAACAGCTCCCAGCAGCTGTTCCCACGCGCCCCACGCGCCCCACGCGCTCCAGCCGGTCACCGCCCACGTGCGCCACGCGCGCGGCAGACCCTTGCCCCGCTCCGTGTGACGTCACACTCCACTTCCACCCGAGTTAACCCAGTCGCCCGAGTAGACTCGCCCGATTCCCCTGACCGAGTTGACTCACTCCCTTGAGTCGACTCACCCGACCGAGTTGCAAAGGCCGACCGGTCCGACCCGCCTGCCCGAGTCGGCTCACCCACCCGACTCGCTCGGTCCGCCCGAGTTGACCCGGCCGACCGCCCAGCTGCACGGATTTCCACGCTCGGTGACGTCACGCCACCCAGGGCTGACGTCACCTCCTCCTTTCTGGCACGAAATTTGATGCCATAGCCGCCAGTACTGGAATTTTCCTCGAACAACGAACCATTACACTGTTTCGCACATAACTTCTCGCTCACAACTCCGAATTTCACAAAATTGGTACTCCCGGACTCCAAATTTCGACCTCTTTCAACCCGGCTATCAGGATTTTTCGAATTCTCAACTTCAAAATTATCGGATTCCGAATTAACTCCACATAGTTCGTCGCTAGACTCGTCCAACAACCTTAGACCCGACATTAAATTCCTACGCCTTTATCAAACGCAATTTCGAGGCTCCAAACAACAAAATACGGATATAACCAACGACACAAGGCCTCGAATAAAAAAGTGAGGATTTGTAAAAAATATTTATACCTTTGGAAGTTCGCCAATTATTCTTAGATCTCGCTAGCACAATTCAGAAAGAAGAAACCTCAAGAATACAAAAAAAAAAACAAAAAACCCTACAAGTGCGTGGGAGGCCTTATATATTACTTCCAACTAGGCTCACAAACCCATGACCCAACTTGGAAGTGGGGGCTTAATGATGTGTCTAATCATAAATAGGCCCATTAACCTAATTAAGATTAGGCCCAATTAATCTAATTGTGTGTCAAAACTCAATTAGATTACTTTTTACCTTTAAAAATGACAACACATTGTCCCACATCGGATTTTTACAAAAGTCCTACCTATTCACCAACTTATAAATGTATGTGTCATTTCACATAGGAATGTACACTCTAATTCGGCAATTAATTACTATTATTTGCTTATATTAATACATCTTCTGACTTGAGCGTCGGAGGATAATCGCCGGGCCAAACCCGGCGTGTCATCTAGTGTTTCAATTGTTTTGTAGGTTAACGAACGGAGCAGACCCTTCGACTACCTCGCAAGGACTCACGGCATTCTCTATCTTTGTGGGCTCAAGGACTCTTGGGTTGCCCAATTAGCATTTGAGCAGCATCAATAATAATAATAATAATAATAATAATTATTATTATTATTATTATTATTATTATTATTATTATTATTATTATTATTATTATTATTAAAAAAATTATCGATCCGACTCGTGAGCTCATAAAAAACTTAAAAGTGAAAGTTTTGCCCTTGGTCTAGCCCATCTTTAATTTAATACATAATAATTCAGTTCCATCTGGTTGCATCCATTAATTTTTCAAAATTTATATATATACAATTGTAGGAATCCAATTACTACATACATAGGAGTTTCCTAGACAATAAAAGAAGGAATAAATCTGATTGATTAATGGTTCAGGCCATTTCCTGACAATTGTCTAATTCAAGTTTCAGAAGGTTCGATTCGATCAGTATTTGTCGTCGTTCGATCAACATCATCCACAAATGCCGAACTCGATCTCTAACGATCTCAATTTTCATCACCCAAACGAACAAAAATGAAATGTAAATCAGTGATCAAGATGTCAATTCACTATACAATTCTTGAATCGATTCGATTATATTCATTTTTTGTGATATCAACAGATCTCGAATAACTCTCAATTTACTATACAATTCTTGGATCGATTCGATTATATGTGTTGTCGTTCGATCAACATCTTCCACAAATGCCGAACTCGATCTCAATTTCATCATGCAAATGAACAAAATGAAATATAAATCAACAGTCAAGATGTTAATTCACTATACAATTCTTGAATTGATTATATTCGTCCGTTTCTTGAATCGATTCGATTATATTCGTCTTCGTCAGATCAACAAATTCCACTTACGGCTAACTTCCGAAGGGATCTCAATTTCACAAGCCAGGTAAGTCACAAATTAAGCAAAGATCAACAGCAACTGAAATAGCAAGACTGATTCCGAAACTTTACTCAATCTTCGAAATTGTATTCATTTATTAAAATCTGAAACATGTCTAAACATAGTATCATATATATATAACATTTAGAGAGAGAGAGAGAGAGAGAGAGAGAGAGAGAGAGAGAGAGAGAGAGTAACACTAAAATCAAAATACAGGGGTTGGTTGGACGGAATCTAAAAATCCGAATCTAAATAAATCTAGGAAGGGTGAACCTTTTTGGAGTGGGAAGAGATGGCCTTGACGGCAGATCTCATCGAAGCGGCGGCGGAATTGACGGCAGCCTCGACGTACTTTCTGGAGGCAAAAGTCGCCGCCTTCTCCAAATTATTCCCCAATTTCCGAGCGTTCTCGGCGGCGCCGACCAAGCTGCCGTACTCCTCCTCGCAGACTCTGTTCATCTCCTCCTCGAACTGGTGGAATTCCGCCATGGCGCTGTCCATAACCGAATCGAGGTAATCCTCGGCCGCGTCCATGTAGTTCTGCGATTTATCGACCTCGTCGTCGTTCTCGAGCTCCAGATTGGCCCACGCCTTGTACGATTCGACCTCGAAGAGCTTCATCAGGTCTTCAATGGTGGACGGATCGAATCTCTTGTCGTTTAGCGCTTCGTCTGAGAGGAATGAGAATTCGGTAAATAGGGCTTCCATTTTTTGCTCCTCTTCTTCTTTGGATCTTTCAGTGGGTAGTGATTGGAGAATCATTCATATAGAAAAATAAGAGAGACGTTATTTTATTTTATTTTTAATTTTTTTTTTTTACTTTATTTTATTTTAGTGGGCCTAAAAGCTGAATTATATGCAACGGTATTGAGCCTAAATATATATGGTAAATTACACATACACCATTTAGCTATGCTAAAATAATTTTAAGGTCCTTGTAGTATTGGTAACTATAGCCACACACATGAAAACAATTATCAGAGGCCAAAATTTCATGTCTTGGGGACCGATACGCACTATATTTGTTTTTTCGCGGGACTGTTAATGCTACTGTAGACAAAAATTTAAAAATCTTATATAAAATAATAAGGATTCAAGAAATATCGAGAGAACCATGTCAACCACTGTCCGAAACTAATAGTTCGTTACAACCCTAATGAAATAACTTACCTAAAGCATTATTCGGTTATGGTTTTTGATACCATTAAATAGACAAAAAAGAAACATGGAGATATGGAAAATGGAGTCTTATCTGTATCATAGTTTTGGGAATCTGGGTAGTGTGTGGCTAAGTGGACCAATGGTATGACATTTGTCAAACCCCATGTTGCTGTCTTAATTCAATTATATACACTAAAATTTGGTGTGTGTTTATGACCGTTGAAAATGAGTGATGAACTACTTTATATATATATATATTTTTTTTCCTTTTTCATCTCAATATTATTAAGTGTAGATTACGGCGGCCTTTGAAATAAAATTAAATTACAAAAACCTCATTTATGTTTGTATAATTACGGATGCCCTCAGTTATGAACTTTTTTACACGTCTATCTATGTAGTGTTAAGTTTCTAAGAATTTTCTAGACGATGTTGTATATTCACCAGTTTGTATCTATTTTATCTCATTCGAGCTCCATATTTTAAAACAAGATAATCAGAAGATGTATCTCTTGGCTTGCAAATATTAGATTGTGGTCCATCGGAAACTGCATTTTTGCACAAACGAGTACAAACTAGAGAACATGCCACGGTATATTGAAAATTATGTTGAATTTGACACCGTAATGATATATATGCAAGAAGATTCATATAGTTAAGGAGGTGGTTGTAATTATCCAAATATGAGAGATTTTTTCATAATTTGACCATACTTTAGGGGTCGGCCGTAATTTGCTCTATTATTTATACATGCCAAATATTAATTGATGGTACTAGACTAAGATAAATGGATTAGTGATTCAATTGTCTAATTGATTGTGTATATAGATCTATTTATAAATATACATTAATTGGTTTATTCTAAATTCATAAAATTTAAGAAATTAAATAATAACTAAAACGTTTATTAAAGTTCAAAACTAAAACAACCATATATTAAATTGGGTAAATTACATGTAATCCCCTTGTAGTTTGATATTTTGCACATGACCCATTTATGGTATGAATTTAGGGACATAATCCCCTTGTGGCTTTGACAGTTTGCACATGACCCCCTTATGGTATGAAATTAGGCACATAACCCCCTGTGGTTTTGTAATTTGTACATGACCCTCTTATGGTATGAAATTAGGCACATAACCCCTTTTGACAATTTGTACATGACCCCCTTATGGTATGAAATTAGTCACATAACCCTCTTGTGGTTTTGACAATTTACACATGACCCCCTTATGGTATAAAATTAGGTACATAACCCCTTGAATAGAAAACTGGAAGAGACTAAATTACCCCTAAAAATAAAGACTTTGTTTGTTAAAAAAATAAAATTTGATAACATCTATAATATAATATATTATAAAGAAAATAGTAAATAATAATAATATTAAAGCTTTGAAATCTTATATATAAAAGAAAGAAGGGGCGTGCTAAATCCCACACTAAAATTTATTAAATCCCACACATAAATTAAAAAAAATTCTCTCTATACTCATATTTTTTTTAACTTCTCTGTAAGATAATTTTATCAAATTCACCCAAAATTCATTAATTTTTTACGTGAATAATCATAAAAAAATGAGTTCAATTTTATTATTATTTATTCAATTTCATTAAGCCTTTTTAATTATTCAAATTCATATAAATTCGATTTTTTTTTCTCAAATTCCAACTTTATTTTAGCCTGGACACGTGAAGATTTTGCTCAAATTCGAATTTGGAATGCTAGGGACGTTTTTAGTGTATGATTTTGTGAAAAAAAAGTTAGAGAAAAAGAAGAAAGGTAGAGAAGGAGAAATAGTTTCAATTGTGTGCAGGATTTGGTAAAATTCGTGTGGGATTTAGCATTTCAGAAGAAAGAAACGCTGGACAACCCTAAAAACCTTAATAGCATTTTTGTAATTATTTATTTTTAATATTTTTTTTCTACTAATTTCTAACTATAATTTTCAACAATTATCAAAATTAAACTAAACCGTGAAGAATCCTTCACCTATTTTTCATCGATATATCTCAAATCTTAAGAGATAAAGATAGAAATTCGATTTGTTAAATCTTAATATGTAACATTTATAATACTACATTATTATATATTTTTTTATGTTAGTGTACTATATTTTCTCATTATATATTAAATTGATTATTCTTTTTTTCACTTTTGAAATAATATCCGTGCATCTGACGGGGAAAAATGCTAGTATGTATAATTATTTTACCGAATTATAATTGAACAAAGAAATTTGATAGAGTAACCAACGAACAAACAATTGGTATGGTTGCAATTTGGCTAAATTTTAGAGGTAATTTAGTCTTTTCTAGTTTTCTATTCAATGTGGTTATCCGCCTAATTTCATACCGTAAATGGGTCATGTGGAAAATGTCAAAACCACAAGAAAATTAAGTGCCTAATTTCATACCATAAGGGGTCATGTGCAAAATATCCAAAGCACAAGGGGGTTAAGTGCTATTTAGAGCCATATAACATTTGGACAATTATAAGTTACAAAAATTGGGCCGGGCCGATATTTAGACGGGCCTCCTTGTACGAATCCGTGTTCAGCCCGCGAAATAAAAATGTCTTATTTGCAGAGAAAGCGGGTTACCCGATCCGAATACAACCCGTGATACCCTACACAGACATTCGTCATTCAAAAGACGAATATTCAAATCGTTAACCCCAATCTGAGCACAATCAAGCTTTGGATTTTCCGATCCGAGATTCCATTCTTCGAGATCGACTCACAGGTGCATATACACACAGGACAGAAGCAATCGGATTTTGGGAGAAATAAAACGATGGGGGTAGGTGCTAACGTGCGCGTGGTGCTCCTGTTGTTTTTGCTCTGCGTCGTGCAGAGGAGCGCGGCCATATGGTTGAGTTTGCCGGCGACTGGGACCAAGTGCGTCTCGGAAGAAATCCAGAGCAACGTCGTCGTTTTGTCCGATTACGTCGTCATTTCCGATGACCACACCCACTCCACCCCCACCATTTCCGCCAAGGTTAGGGTTCTTCCCCCCAAATTAATCTGCGTGTGTTCAATTAGTTTATAATTATTTTGTTTCTATCTGCGGAAAGATTGTGTTGTTGGCGATGGAAATATTGAAGATGGTTTTGAGCTGGATTAAATGGAAAATAAGTAATTAAGTTAACTATATTAGCGTCGAGCTCGATTTATTGCGAGAATACTTGAAGAACTTTCTATTTTTGGGTTCAGCTTTTATATGTTTTACTTTGATTTACATAATCTAAAACTAAACCAGGCATCACTTAGTTTGATGGTTTTATGTTGATGTAGAAGAAACCACTAGCTATATTTATTTACGAAACTCACTATTGCGTCCGTTTCATACATCACGAATTTATTCCTTCTGAACCCGTTAAGAGGGAAATAAATTGTTTTGCAAAAGCAATTTTAGTTTTGTAAGTGGCAAGTAGGGTTTTAATGTTGTATAACCATCTCGATTTTTTGATTGACTAACGACTAAAGAGTCAAGTTTCATGTTTTCAAAATTAAATCGGCAAGCTCCTAATCAGACTGACAAAAATCGAAGTCTTAATTTTGTTGATTACATAGCATGCACTTTTAATACTGGAAATCTGATGCTTCACATTGGGACTGTTTTCTCGTTATTCGATAGTCCCCCTTTCATATTTATCTGGTGCTACCGTGCTAGCTAATTCTTACGTGGCCAGAGTTATTGGCTATATCGTCCAATTACATTATAGATTTCTTAAGAATGATAGAGTAAACTACTTCACTTTGGATTACACCCAATTTTTGGCGTTTCCTTTTTTTATTTTCCTTCTCATCTTTGTGTTATTGATTATACTATGTCCTGAGTGAGACGAGATTCTGACGTATAAAAGATAACTTCCTGCCTATGTGCAGAAGGCTCTAGTAATTTAGATGATTACCTCCGATTCAGAGGTTTAAAGGGCAAATAACATCAATGTTAGCGTCGTCGCACATGATTAGTTTGGCCCGGTTATCATTCTTGCAGTTCCGATTCAACTAATTCGACCGTATGTTTCTTCTGAAAGGTCACTTCACCATACGGGAATAACCTCCATCACCAGGAAAATGTCACACATGGTCAATTCGCTTTTACAACTAGCGAGAGTGGAAACTATCTAGCTTGTTTTTGGATCGATGGCAATAATCAAGGAGGTGGGGATGTAAGTCTCAACATTGACTGGAAGACAGGTATTGCAGCCAAGGATTGGGATTCGGTTGCAAGAAAGGAGAAAATCGAGGTGAGATCTTTAAGATTAAATACGAATGCTATTTTCACTTTCAACTTTATACATTTACCTTAATTTGGAAAGCCATATGTTTGCTATTTTGAGTTAGGCAGGTTCGTTTTGATTGATAGGTTGGGATTAGGTTGATAGACAATATAGTCAAGCTTTGTCAAATGTTTGGGATTTAGATTTCAAGTCCGTCATATAAAATGGGCCCGGATTATAATCAAGCAAAAATTCAACCCCTATGATTACATGATCCTAATTTTGCCTTTTGGATATATTAAATAGAATTACCACGTGTGCTCCCATACATAGAAATAATGCTAGATTGCTAGTAACTAGTGTAATACGGTCTTTATTCCGAAGCAAATTTGTATAATCACAAATCTCAAACAAATAATCACTAAATCACATATTACATTATCATAAACAATGTAATGAGTAATCCTATCCAATCCAATCTTGACTTATCAATCCCATCAACATTTTTCAAAAGATGCCTAAGTTTATACCATTTATTCTGGTGACAAAAGTTTATAGACAGTTTTTATCGGCAAAAATAAAGATCTCAGAATGAGAATCGAAGCTTAAAAAGTTGTTGCTCATGGTGTAGAATGTATTTACATACTTCTTTTTCCCCCTAGTAGGGTGTTGAGCTTGAGCTAAGAAAGCTCGAAGGAGTAGTGGAAGCCATCCATGAAAATCTTCTGTATCTCAAAAGCAGGTATATTGTTTTTTTTTTTTTTTTTTTTTTTTTTTTTAATTTTTATAAATAATGTTTATCAGTTAACGATCCGAAGTCGTCTTCTTAATGCTCTAACTTTTCGAAACCGTTGCAAAATTGTTGTTCTTGCAGAGAAGCGGAGATGCGGATTGTGAGTGAAAAAACGAATGGTCGGGTGGCTTGGTTCAGTATCATGTCATTGGGAGTCTGCATTGTGGTTTCGGCTTCACAGATATGGTACTTGAAGCGATATTTCCAAAAGAAAAAGCTGATTTAGACGAAAAAAAAACACACGAAATTTTAGGTTTGTTTGATGTATTTTGTATTTTGCTACACCGGCTTTTGAAACCTTAGATTTTGTTTATTTTTGCCTCGTGAATGTATATTGTTATTCTGCAGAAGGATTAGTTGTTTCGTTTAATACGAAAATGTTTGTTTGCATTTTGAGAAAAAAGAAAAACGATTCACACTGACTACCAATAAGGCAATAAATAATTCGATTAATAATTAATGATCGGGACTTGATAAATACAGAACACCTTTTAGTAAACGTAGACCATTTTATTTATAAATTAAAATCTGACATCAATCCAATCTTTTTTCTTTCAAACATTTATTGAATATTGCATCATTAATTATCAAAACACGAAGTTTATCAATTCCATAATTTTTTTTTTTTTGAGTTTTTTAATCCTCACAAATACACAAAAAAAAACATTAAAATAAGAGTGAAAAGTATTTATTTAGAACAAAAAGTTAAAGAGGTGATAAATAGGTAGAAGGATTTAAACATTAAAATTAAAAAAAAAAATAACCTGCAGTTAGTAAAAGTCATCATATATTTATCATTTTAGTTAATGATTTCTAAATCAACTTATCACCATAAACTAAGATAACGGTTTAATCTATCCTACACCCGGTGAAGGTTACACCGGGTGATTTTTTACCGTTGATCTACACATACCAATGTGGGTGTGTGTGTGTTTGTGTGTATATGAATGGTAAAGATCTACCCGGTGTATTTCACCCGGTGTAGGATCTCAAAAGCCATAAGATAACTCCGAAGTTAGTTATCCATCATAATTATGCTCTCGCACTAAAATTGGATTCCATAGTGCTATATTTCTCTAATTCATTACTTTTCAAGATAAAATTAACTTTTATGATTTATCCACTATTAAAAAAATAAAAAAAACAAGTCAACGTGGATGCATGTGATTGGCCAACATCTTGTTAGTGATATAGCAAAATGAATAATCAATAGTTGCAACATTGAGTAACCCCCAAATAAGGCAATAACTATAAACATGAATTATCCAATTATGACAATAAATTCATTATGAAATTGTTAAATGATTTCAAAATTTGTTTTTTTATTTTATATTTTTGGAAAATTTGAGTGGTGGTAAATATTTATTCTCTTCTATGGATACTTTATTTTAATAAACTTTATCTTTCACCTTTGCTTCTCCTCAACGTTGGGTACCCAAAACATTTTATTAATTGTTACCTAGGACCTTATGAAGTTGTTTTATCTTTACATTGACACCCTTATATTTTATGTAAATTTCTTATGCATCCCCATACATTTTGTGACTTTTATAGCATGCCACTAGTTCAGATTCTCCTAACACCCAAATTTGTGTTGGTTTTGTGTGGTTACTAGTTGTTTATAAAGTAGGGCAAAGTTTTTACTTATGAGAAACTATTGTTAATATTTAAGGTATAAATTTAAATTAATTCGACCAGTTTAAATATTATTCCAACTCGGGCTTCGTAGAGAGAGTTGTTGACAAAATCTATCAATTTGTTCAAACTTGAATATCTATAGATATATACTACAATAAATTATAACCAATCATCATTAGGAGAGTTGTAATTAGCCTTCTTGACTACCAGGGTTGAAGTTTAATTTTGAATCATGTCCCTCGCTTATTTTAATATTTACAAAGTTTTTCTATGCAAGTTATAGGGGTCACGATTTTCACCAGCCGTAACATTTCATAGACCTACGGGTCACTTTTCTTCTCGTATGCCACGGGAAACTCTTCGAGAAAACTGTAATTCATTTATTAATTTAATTTGATCACAAATGAAGTAAAATAACAACTGTGATATTATAAAAATAATCACCGCGCTCTATAAAACGGTACTAAATTAATTCACTTTGTAAGTCGAACTCATCACATAATGTGTTAACACTTACATGTCTGACACAATTTGCAAGTTATTGCACGAATGCAAAGTTTAAATGCGTGTACGGGTTTTTTTTAATAAAAAAAAAACAAGTAAATACAAAATAGTTAATTAATGTATGAACTTTTCCCCCCCATGAAAATCCAAATATATGGAACCGACCCCTAAAAATAAGGAAGAAAGAAAGAAAAGTCCAAAAGCATATTTCATTGTTTGTAGTGAGTGCGTGTTTGTGCGCGTACGGAGAGCATTTGTTCACCGAGCACACTTGTCCACAGCCACCCCCAGTTGTCCCCATACCCTTGAGAGAGAGAGAAGAGAGAGAGAGAGATTAGAGAGAGAGAGACTGGACCGAGACAAACCCATCTCTCTCCCCAGTTGCGTGTACATACAATTTCTAGTGAGAGAAACTCGAGAGAGAGAGAGTATTTCGGAACCGATGCTGTGGTGGAAATGGGGAAGGCCGATAATCAGCGACTGCCGATTGTGCAGCAGCCTAGTGGCGGCGGCGGCACTGCTTCTAGAACCTTCCTCTGCCGGAGATGTGCGGTGGGCCTTCGCGGACTCTGCACCCTCAAATGCGCCGTCGTTTTGATGCTCAGTGTCGCCGCTTTCTTCTCCGCCGTTTTCTGGCTTCTTCCTATTCGGTACAGGGAAGTTGGCTTCGATGCTCGAGAATCCATCAAACTCAGTGGTAAATTGCTATTTCAATTTCGTTTTTTGTTTTTGTTTTTTTTATTCTAATTCTCCAGTTTTCAGTTGTGATTTGGCTTGCTTTGGGAATTAGGGTTTCTGTGATTTGGTTTTTTTTTTTAATTTTTTTTTTCCTTTTTGTGCCACAATTGGCGTTCCTGGTAATTTTGCGATCTTACAGAAGACCAATATTTGTTCAACATTTAATATTTATTTTGTATTCTATCATTCTTGTTGTAACATTTGGGTCTCCATGGAGGTTTCGTAATTTCTCCGATTTTCCCTTAGTTTATTCGATTTTCCCTCTCAGTTGTTTGGAAATATTGAATAATATACCCGAATTAATTATTCCAATAGAAAAAATGCTGGTTTTTGAACTGAAACAGTTTTTGAACTGAAACAGTTAACACTGTCAAGATTGCTTGTCAAAGTTCAAGATAACGAAAATGTGATTTGGTAGGTAATATATGGTTGAGCAAACCCATGACTTATCTTCTATGGCATCGTTGTTGCTAGATGGTGATAGCTTGTTATGAGATTATTCTTTCATAATTGTGTCTATAGTGTAACTTATTTTCTGAGATGGGACATGCGTTTCTTGGATTGGTTGTGCAATTGTAATTACCAGTTAATAAAGATATAAGTAATAGCTTTTTCATTTTATGGGGTTGCGTATGGATGTATTTTTCTGCATGAGTGACACTTCATCGAAACCATCTTCTTTATTAGTAGTACTCGGAGCAATCTTATTTAAACAACTAGTTGTTCATCCTAGCAATTATTCAACAAAACTGAGGAATCAGTGGTGGATGATGCATCCATGATTAATGTACATCTGAGATTAGATTCACATTTCTTGAAATTCTCCTATCTTTTGTTCATTTGCAGTCCCATTTTGTCGTAATGGGCATTGGTTTCAAATTTGTTCCCGTCTTATGAAACTAGTTTTAAATTACACTAATGGCTTAGCTAAATGTAGATGATGCAATTTTATTGCAAATTTAACTATCCCTTTTGATATTTCGTCAATTAGTATAATTTGGAACAGCTTCTAATGTAAGCTCGACCCTCCTGTAGTACTTATTAATTATTTGTCCGGACCTCCTATAATACTTATGTACTATGTAAGCTCTCATGTTAGAATGTCCGCATCATTTGTGTTTGGTGTTTCTTGAATCTCCAACAAAATCTATGCATCTGAAATGCGTACAACACAAGAAAAGAGTAATATTACTAATACGTACCTTCACAGTTGTTTTCCTTCATCTCTTTGTTGAAGTCTCGATTCTTGTTCTTTCTTATTCCAGCCACAGTTCAATCATATTTCAAGCTTCAGAAACCAGTTCACGAGCTCGTACCGTATATTGCAAGATTAGAATACGACGTCAATGAGGAGATAGGTGTCCCTTCTTTAAAGGTTGGCTTCAAGTTTATATACTGTAAATATTGTTAACTCAAACAGAAGGACAATTTGACAATCACTTCAATTTTTTTTTCACAGGTTGCTGTTTTGTCCATGCACAAGGCAAACACTTCTAACTGCACTGATGTGGTGTTTGGCTTCCTTCCCGATCCAATCAATAGTACAATGAATTCAGTGGCTTTGAGTTTGTTGAAATCATCCTTAATAGATCTGTTTCTTCAACAATATAATTTGACATTAACTTCCCCTATCTTTGGAGAGCCTTCTTCATTCGAGATTCTAAAATTTCCCGGTGGGATTACCATAATACCTGAGGGAGCTGCTTTGATATCTCAAGCCCTTGTGAATTTCACTCTCAACAGCTCAATATACGACATAAAGGAAAATCTTCCGGAATTGAAGGAACAACTGAAATCTGGACTGCGTTTGATGTCCAATGAGGTAAATTAATATCCACCGTTTGTTCATCATTCACGTCGCAAAAAAAATTAAGCCCTTTTGATTTTGTTTCGACTTTTCTTGATACAGGTGGTGTACGTAAAGGTAACAAACAAACACGGCTCGACGAAAGACCCACCAGTTACAGTTGAAGCTTTGGTTGCATCTGATAGTGGGACAATACTTCCAGACAGATTGAATCAGCTGGCTCAAATAATTACCGGATCACCCCCCACGGATAATCTTGGCCTAGATCATTCCGTTTTTGGGAAAGTCAAAGAAATTAGCTTGTCATCATTTCTAAATCACTCACTTCATACACCAACGCCGACACCAACCCCATCGCCTTCTCCAGATATGGCACCATCTAATTCTCCTGGTTTTGCACTACCACCTTGTACAAACTGTTATTCATCTGCACCCAGTCCAAATAATGCCCCTTCCAATTCTTTATCTCCGATTTCTGATTCTCCTGCACCCTCGGATTGTTGGTCTACTAAGCCACCAAGTCCGCCTCCAACTTCTCACAGTGACCAAATATCTCCTAATTTATCACCTCGAATATCACCGGGTCCTTCTCCATCGCCTAGTGCTGGATATGGTTCGGGCGAAAGGAGTGGGAAAGGCTTGGTGTCTCCGCTGAGTGCTTCCTCTGCATACGACCATTCATGTAAGTACTCCCAGTTAAATTCTTTTTTCCTTTTTGTATGTGAAAACAAGTAGGGATTGATTGGTTAATGGCATTTTCGTAAGCACTTGTTTTTGTTGTGCTCTACATTTATGAAAGTCCATTTCGATAAGCTGGATTGGAAGTATTACTAGCAAATCTTTGCTTGATGAACGATGTTCGAGAATATTGTCTCGTTGGAAAAAAATAAATAATTAACTAACTTTTTTCTTGCTAAGTTAGGTGCCTTTGCTATTCTCATGTATTTTCTTCGAAGAAAGCTTTCACTTGATGAAAGATTATTTAGCATATCGTGTTGCTTTCTAGAAAGAGAGAAGAAAAATAGTAGTAGAGAATATGTTAGGCTATCCAATTATTGCACTATGTCTATGATTTTACTGACTAAAAATGTTCGCAAAATTGCAGCTTTTGTCGTGGGCACTTGGAGGATTCAACGCTTCTACTTAAACGGACTTGTGGCACTTGTTGTCCTATCTTGGATTTCGACATCTTCCTAAATTGATATATATACACATATATATATATATATATATAACTTATTACAGTTTTGGTGGTGGAGAGTGAAATTGCGGTGATAAAAAGAAGTCGACAGAGGAGCTTAAGAGAGTTGGAGGGGAATGCCAAAAGATGGCACACAAACCTTCACCCTTCACTGTTATCGGGTCTGTGTGTGGCTCTCGACATAAAAAAAAAAGAGTGAAAAATGGTTTGCTTTTCGTTTGCAGGTTTTCCGAAAGAACAAACTGTAAAATGTACGGGTTCTTTCTGAACTTCTGCAAGGGCCGCTGATTATAATGTTAACAAAAACAGAGTATCAATTAACTTTATATATATAAATATATAGTCAGTAAATAAATCAATTACCTGCTTATGTGCCTGCATATAACTTGTCCTCAACTTGCCGACGATGGTCTCCGGTTTCGGCTTTTAATTAGTTTTACGCTTTTGATGCAGCATAGGTTATTGGAAACCAGAAATTAACTCAAAATTCGATTGACTAAGATAAAATTGAAGGCTCAACACAATTTCTCAACAAATCAATATACAAGTTCATTTACTTAATTACTTGATTATAGTTTATTTTATTCATCAGCTTTGATCAGAAATTTTGTTAACGCCGTTTATCATTAAAACGGCTTACAAATGAAATACGTAGCCAGAATACATCGATTGTATTGCTAAACGAGTGGGGGTATTAGTGTAGACATCAATCTATGCACAAGTGAATCTGAAGAGATGCATCATCTGCTATATTTACTTGGGATCATGTCTTTTGATGAGAGAAAAAATTGGCGCCTTATCGGTTAATGTTCTTCTCCCGCTAAGGGAAATGGGCCCTACTTCCCATGCAGGACCAAGAAGCCACGACACTGCAGCTCCGCCTATCAATCCTCCGACCTGAAATTTTTTATTTACGAAAAAACCATCATAAACGATTCAGTAGCCATTATGTGTGTGTCGTATGAACTCATATACTGTATTAGAGCTAACGTTTTTTGAATGTGAGGTAACGTGTGCACACAAAAAAGAGAGTAAAATAACTCGGTTTTTAGAGATAACAACTTGTACTATGAAAACGTGATCCTCCAATAATAGTTTCTAAAATGTGATTATGAAATTTCTGGAATAAAAAACACTTGAAAAAAAAACAGCATCTTATAAATCAATTTCGTAATTATCTTTAGTGTTTTGTGACACGAACGGAGATATGTCCAAAAGAGTTGGCAATAAACTTACATGTCCCCAATTATCGATGCCTTGAGATAGCAGCCCAATAGCCTGCACGAGAAAGGCTTATTTTCAGCTAACCATAAAAGTTTTGCGCAAGTTATTGAGTCGATGAATTCTATAAATGCATAAGCGAAAATGATTCGTACATTTGCGTTTGTGCAATTACCAACGATCGTGCCTATTTACATCTTAGTACAATCTGTTAACTAAGTAACAGCGAATTGGAAAACAAATATAAATGAACTGATTGTACTGATGAAGCCTGAAGGTAAACACGAGTACCAAAGATTTCAGCAGAGAAGTCAAACTCTGTACGGTTGACTAACATTTTACAACCGAAATCCAATAATTCAATTTTGACCCGGGAAAAAGTTGTGAAGAAAATTTACCATGTTCAGAACAATCACTTGAGCAATATGTTTCAAACCGCTCTCAGTGCCTTTGACCATTCCCCTGTGCCTCAGCGCAAAAATAGCAAACGATCCAACCTGATCGCACGCTACCGTTAAATCAATTAAACATAATGCCAACTTTTTTTACCAAACTAATTTGTTTTATTCAACAAGGAAACTGGCATTTGAAGCAAAATAAATTTGAATTACGTATTTACGCTTGAGCATCAAGAAAATGCTGTGTTTTTAATGGTCAAGAGATTACCAATCCAAAAATAGCTCCCGATGCGCCAACTGCTGGTGCTTGGCAAAACCGATAACTCATCGCCGCACCTGATTTACAACAAATAATTTGATTAAAAAATGATTTGTTTCAGATGAATTGGGAATTATATATACTGCAGAGTGGAATTGCAATTTGCTAGTCCGATCCGATCCTTACTTGCAATTGCAGAGGTCATGTATATTGCAAGATATCTTTTAGGACCACATACATTCTCGACAGCAGGACCGATTGAGTTCAATGAATAGCAATTCACCTGCAAAAAACATAATTATTCTCAACAAATATGACAAATTTTGACCAAAGAGAAAACTACACCTTTTTATTACTGGTAATATTCAAATCGAACCAGCAGATGTCCAATATTCGCATGCAGAAACGAAGATGTAGCTAGCCTCCACAACTGCCCTTTACTAATTAGACTATTAATCTGCAAATACAGTGAAACAAACAAGTAAAAAAAAGGAATTTAAAATGGAAGTGATAATCCAATGCTTGTATGAGAAACGAAAAAAACAAAAGTCAAACCTTGGCGCCCCAAAATAAAAGCTTGCCATCTGAGGCCGATTGTGCTATATAGACTCTGCATTCAAATTTCAAACGCAAAAAAAATCTTCAGTTTTCCACTGGAAATATCAAACCAGATAACCGAGGAGTACTTTTTAGCCTCTCAACTATATATATATATATATATATATATATATATATATATATATATGTGTGTGTGTGTGTGTGTGTGTGTGTGTATACACACACATTTACTCACAAGACATTGGCAACAAGAAGTACATTGGTCCATTGCCTTCCGTCGAATAAGTTTCTTCTAGAAGATCTTGACTGTGGCTTCCCGAAATCTCGTGAACTATTTTGACTTTCGTTTCCATTGAAGAAACTTAAGCTCATCAATGCAGCGGACAAAGCATTGGACGACAATCGAAAGCAGTTAAAACCTGTAAACCGAAGGGCCCTTTCGCGACACATAATATCCTTCAAACGAGGCACATCACCAAGACGAGAAATACGCTGCACAAGAAAAAGAAAAAAAAGGTATATTCCTTCCATAATCATCATCTTTCAAAACAGCTAATTATCAGCGTCTGTCGAATTAAAATGAGTTTTTGTTGTAATTAAAACGAACAATGTTAAAAAAAAAAAAAGCAAAGATCAATTTCTCAGCAATTGTTTGACGGGAACAGTGGAAAAAAAATCTATTCCGCTTATTGCAAAGTAGATAGGGCTAATTCATCCATGTACACAGATACAGTTTGCAATTAAACACAAAATTATGCCCAAATATACAAAGCTTTAATTCACGTGTATGCGAGCAATTGAGCAATGGAAACTAAAATTTCTTATCCTAGGTTGATAAGGTCTGTTATTTTCGAACCTCGAGGGAGGAGCGGAGGAGGAAGTCGAGTTGAAGGCGGCGGCGGAGGGCGTCGCTAACGGCGGCGGCGGAGGTGGTGGTTAAGAGGCGGTTGATTGGTGTGGGACCAATTCCGAAAATGGGGATTGGGTATTTGGGATTGGATGAAATTGGTGATCCTCCCATCATTGCTTTCTTCTCCTCAATTTTTGATTCAAGTGCAGAAACTGAAATTCAGAGATCAATTTTGACTATGTTCTTCAATTTTTCACTTCTGCTTACTTTATAACTAAACCTTGGAAATGCTCTAAAAGATAAATAGTTAAATACTATTCAAAAAATCGAGTTAAATGTATTTTGCCACCTGTATTTTATCTCTTTTTGCGATTTGCCACCTTAACTAAAAAATATTGCACGAACCCGTTAAAACTAGTTTTTTTTACTCATATAATCACATAAGGGGAATATTCCGGCGAATCTTCTCACTTCCCGGCGCACGCGCATTGCAAGAGTTTTTTTTCTTCGGATTTAGAACTCAAAAAATTTATGAGCCCTCTCTTTTCACACGCGCACACATACGTAATCGGACGGCGGTTCACAATTCATAAATACATGAGCATTAACAAGCCCTTCAGGTTAAATATTTGATTATGAGACTAAAATGCAATTTTACAACGAGCGTTGATTCAATCAACAATTACCCATTGATTTTGGCCCGTTAGTACCACCAATTCAATCAAAATTTTAACTATTGGCTAATAATTTTGAAGTTGGGTCATTGCATTTCAACAAACAAACGATCACGGCTATTAAACAATTTTAAATTTCTTTTTTGTCAACTTCTACTAACTAACTATTCTCTCGTGTGAATTATTTTTAGGGGTAATGGCAAATAGACCCATGACAAGGGCACTTAATTAAAATAGGGACATCCAACTTTTTTGTCTTTCAAATAAATCCACCCCATTCAAACTTATTTGCAAATAAGGAAAATCCCTTTATATATACCAAAATTACCCCCAATTCATTTGAAACCCAATTTAGCCCAATTTCATCAATTAACCAATTTTAACCCAAATTTCAATTTTGACCCCAATTTTAACCCTAATTCGTATCAATTCCACCCATTATGCTCTAACTTCTTTAATATTACACATTGACCCCGGATTTTAACAAATATATCACATTAACCCCCAAAACTTTTTTTTTTCAGAAAATAATTTTTTTTCCGGCCAGATTCCGGCGTTGACCGCCGGAGACCGCCGGTCTCCGGCATTGACTTTTTTTTTTTTTTTTTTTTGTTTTCCTGAAATTTTTTTCCGGTCGGTCAACGGCCGTTGACCGCCGGGTTTCCGGCGTTGACGTTTTTTTTTTTTTTTTTTTTTTCTTAAAAAAAATATTTTAATTAATTTTACTGTCTTGGCTGTTAAATTACTGTCTCCGGCAGCTATTTAACTATCGGAGACAGTAATTTAACTGTTAATCGACTGTTTTTTTTTTTTTTTTTTTTCTTCAAAAATATTTTAATTAATATTACTGTATTCGTTGCTAAATTACTGTCTCCAGCAGTTATTTAACTGTCGCTGACAGTAATTTAACTGTTAATTGACTTTTTTATTCTTAAAAAAATATTTTTAATTAATATTACTGTATTCGTTGCTAAATTACTGTCTCCAGCAGTTATTTAACTGTCGGAGACAGTAATTTAACTGTTAATTGACTTTTTTATTCTTAAAAAAATATTTTTAATTAATATTACTATATTCGTTGCTAAATTACTGTCTCCAGCAGTTATTTAACTGTCGGAGACAGTAATTTAACTGTTAATTGACTTTTTTATTCTTAAAAAAAATATTTTTAATTAATATTACTGTATTCGTTGCTAAATTACTGTCTCCAGCAGTTATTTAACTGTCGGAGACAGTAACTTAACTGTTAATTGACTTTTTTTTTTTTTTTTTTTTTAATTTATTTAAATTAATATTACTGTCTTGGATGTTAAATTACTGTCTCCAACAGTAATTTAACTGTCTTAGATAATAATATTAATAATATTACTGTTCGGAAAAATAATATTCATAATATTACTGTCTCAAACAGTAATATTACTGTCTGAAACAGTAATTTAGTAGTCAAGACAGTAATATTAATTAAAATTTTTTTTTTTTCTAAGAAAAAACATTTCCAAAAAAAAAAAAAAAAAAAAAAGTCAACCCCGGAAACCGGCGGGACCGGCCGGAAAAAAAAAGCAAGAAAAAAAAATTTCAAAAAAAAAAAAAAAAAAAAAAAAAGGTCACCCCCGGAAACTGGGGGCCTCCGGCGGTCAACGCCGGAATCTGGCCCGGGAAAAAAAAACAGTTCAGAAAAAAAATTATTTTCTGAAAAAAAAAGTTTTGGGGGTTAATGTGATATATTTGTTTAAATCCGGGGTCAATGTGTAATATTAAGGAAGTTAGAGCATAATGGGTGGAATTGTTAAGAATTATATTATTGAGGGTATTTTAGACTAAAGACATGGGGATGGGCTTAATTGAGAGACTGTTTTTTTTGTGGACTAAAATGCATTTAAGTCCCATGTGATGGGCCTTTTTGCCATTTGCCCTTATTTTTACTTTATTTTTCAAATAATTTTTTACAAGGACATGCTTTATTATGTTGAAATTAAATATTTCTTTTTCTTCAAGATAATGGTTCTCCATTTTTTTTTGTATTAATTTTCGGGGTGAAAATTGTGCTCGTCTTTCCATATTAACTTTTAATGAATTAAATCTTGTAGTTTCTCATCTCTTCGTCGCAATTCTTTGAAATGCAAATAGGACGGAGGCATCGAGTTTTTTCTTGGTCCGACTCAATTGACAGTCAAAAAATAAATAGAACAACATCAAACAAACTAAACGAAAATTAAAAAAATTAGGTATATAATTACAATTAGAAATTATCTATGTACACATAATATGGAGCTAATCCTATTTATAAATCATACATGGTTTTCCAGATTTTGCACACAATCAAGCCATCTAATCTCATATCTAATCCTCTAGTATGCCATAATTTGCTCCATTAATCTTGTTGATCTTGAATTAGTAACTAATTAAGCACGTTCAAGATTAAAACCTCACTCGTCAAATTTCACCTTAACCCTGAAGTTCAAAGCTGTTAACAAAATCTTTGTAATGATTGCATAAATTCGAAGTAGTAGTTAATGTCCCGATGTTTTGACGAAGTCAAGATTTCATCACTAGGAGGATCGAATATACATTAAAAAATAACGTAAAAAAATTAATGACAACAATTACTGTTCAATAGTGCGAGACTACGATATTTTTACACGGTGGACATAAATTTTTGGGCGTTCGGGGGCAACCTCTGATTTCTTTTAGGGTTTTTTTGACAAAAACAGAAGATAGAAAAAAGAAAAACTTAGGATATTTTTTTTTTGAATTAATTTGAATTTTTGGTGTACTAAATAATAATAATTGAGTGGACTTAATAAATATATAGGTGTAATATAGTGAAATTTTTTTCCAATTGAAAATAGGCTCGAGTACTCGATCATTTTTCAAGGGTGGACCTCGCCCTTAGTTCCAATTGTCACAATTCGTAACTTCCTTATTCTAGTATATAAAATTAAATTGTTAAAAGTTATAGGACCACATTGCAAAGGCAATAAATATTGTCTAACCTGTGATATGCTGAATTTTGTCTCATTTTTTTTAACACAATATTTTCATGTTAGTCTCATCAACTAATTTAAGTTATATGTATCTAATTGGAATATTCTTTTTACCTTAAAAAGGAGAGAGCTAATTAAGGAATGCCCCCCCAAGATCTCCACCAGCTACCTGTCAAGATATATAATCTGTGTGTGTCAATCATGCATGCATGCATACGTATAAAAAAAAAAAAACTATGTTCCAATTTATATATAAGACAATAATATATATATGTAAGAAAAAATCTGATTAATTACCTCCACGAGAAACATTGATTCTATCATCAAGAAAATCAAGACAGAGTTGTGCCCAATTCATAACCAAACTGAATGGCCTCAATGACAAGAGATCATGGGCCCACCTCCAGTTTTCGGAATATTCCATCTCGCCCGCTTCTTCTCCTTCTCCGAACATAAAACCCTCGAAATTGTAATCGTCTCCGAAAAAGTTATTGTTACTTGCGTCGTTGTTGTTGTTGTTGTTGTTGTTGTTGTTTAATCCTCGTATTTCGTACCGACAAACCGGACACGTGTTGTTGATGTGTAGCCAAGGGACGATGCAATCCGAGTGATAGAAATGCTTGCACGGAAGCTCCCTCACTAAAACCCCGACCTCGAACTCGTCCTTACAAACCGGACAACACGTATCGTTATTCTTCAAGTATTCTCCCCTCAGCTCCACCACCGGCAGTGCCTCGATAGCCGATGGGGACGCCGTTGGTGGGCCCGGCCTGTCGTTCTGAGTCAATTCTTGGATTAACTCATCCAGTCCTTGATCAGAAGACGGCCGGGAAACGGGCCCGGTGCGCCCATCGGGCCCTATGAACTGAAGTAGAACTGAGGCCCGGTGGGTCGCATTTGGAATTGGGGGGTCCAGCATGCGGGCCAACGAGTCGAGCAAGCGGGCCCCAGAAGACGACTCGAAGCCCGGTTCGAGGAGAGGCCTAGGCCTTGAAATGTCGAGCTCGTGGTTGATTTGACCGAAGCAAACAGGGCATAGTATTTCGGAAGGGTTGGTGGTGGTGGTTCTAATGGAGCGTTGGCATCGCCTACACCAATAGTAATGGTACGTTCTTGTTCTTCGAACCCCGTTGACGGTGATACCGGGGTGACGAAACGTAGGCATAATTATGGTTAATTTATTGAGATTAATATTAATTAGTGTATTAGAGGTGAGATTAGAAGAGGAAAGAAGATAGGTAAAATACTAAAACTATTTATATATATGAGAGGGAAAATGAATGACTTGCATTGGAGGGTTTGTTTTATTTTAATGTTTGAAGTTGTATGTATGGTGAAATTGGATTGTTTGCACATTTTGTTTAACCTTATGACTTCATTCTCCTCTACTAAAAGAAAGGGATGATTTGGGTACAAAGCCACATAAAAAAAATAAAATAAAACAAAATAATTCCAAATTAACATTTTTCAAGAAATTCCATATTTTTTAATAAAAATAATAGTTCCAATTTCGTTCGAAGAAAAAAAAATTGGAATGGAAAAAATTGTTACAAAATTCTCTTGTTGTTACGAAATCTTGCGACAACACCATAATTATTATTTGGATTTTCGTTATTCCAATTTTGATTAAAAACAATTGTTATGAAAAATATTATTCCAAAACTGAATTATTTTGAATTGAAATTGGCTGAATTCATAAACGATGTTCCAATTTCCACCCATACTCAAAAACTCATCACAATGATAAGACTATTTATTTAATAGTATTTATACATCTAACTTTGTTCAATAGGTTATAATATAGTTGGTATACTGTCTTTGTTTATATTTTGGCATATTATCAGTCTCCCATACTAAAATTATAAGTTTTTCATTCTCCAATTTTTTTTTTTTTGAAAAAAAAGGTCACTAGTATGGCATAATTATTGAAAAAAAATAATAATATATATTTTATTTTATTTTACATTAATAACTAAAATATATAAAATATTGGTTTTTTTTAATATCATCATGCTAGTTATCCATCATAACCCCTTATGATTTAACCACTACAAATTTTTTTTTCTCAAATCATAATACAAACAAACATTACTAAATTAATTTTCAGTATTCATCTTCCTATAGTTAGTGGATTATTTCTAAAATAAATATTACTAAACGAAAATATGGTTATCTTATAATTTTTTTATTTTATTTTTAATCAATGGCTAATGAAGTCCAATTTGTAAAAACAATTTATCGCAAAAACAAATATATATTGCCGAAGCTAACTGAATTATTTCACTATTTGGTGCACCAAAACTCCAAAACACGGCCGAGTCGACTCAGTAACTGAGTTTGTCTCATAGTGAATCACGGTTCGATCAAAACCTCAACTCCACCCTCACCCCTAATTCCTTTCTCTCTCTTCTTCCCCTCTCTCCACTCTCAAATTGAGGGAGAAAATACCAACGAAAAAACCCCCAAAAAAGAAAAAAAGAATAAAAAAAATAGAAGCCATATCCATTTCTCCATGAGAAGATAAACCCTAATTCTTCAATTTCACAAACCCTGTTCGAGAAATTTCAGAAATCGGAAGCTCAATAGAAAGGGGGAACAGGTGAACAAAAAAATGTCTCATTCAGTTTTAACCGCGCCGATTATGCCGCTCGCACAAACCCACAGTACTTTATCATCCAAATCCAAACCCTTTCTCCCAATCAAGAGGTTTCAACCCCGGAGATGTCTACCCGGCATCAGAGCATCGTCGGCTGTTTCCGACGACAGCGCTATTGCCACCTTGGAGAGGTGCTTTCAGGCGTCGCCGCCGTCCGCGGATGCTCCGTCGTCGGCTTCTTCCAGCTCTGCAGATTTTGGTCCGGTTATGAAGGGTGGGAAGTTCGGCTCGTTAGGTGCGGTTACTTTGGAAAAATCGAAGCTTGATATGACGCAGAAGATAACCAAGTCTAGTCCTGAGGTATTCACACATCAATTTTGTCGATTTCTTCACCAGATTATCCATATCGAGAAAAAGAAAAATCTTAGCGATTTTTAATGATTTTGTTTACTAGTTTAGGGTAACTAATTGTGATTACTACTTGTAATGTTTCATTTGCCTTCACCAATTGACTAATTATTAAACTCAATTGACATTGCAATACTTGACTGAATGAAATATTTGATTGATACTTTTGAGTTTGGGATTTCTAGTTCTTGCGTTTCGCGGTGAAGCTTAATTCTGATTTTCTTTTTTCCTATTCATCACTGCCAGCTGAAGTTGTAGTAAATCTATGATCCCTCTTGTCCGTTAAGAATAGAGTCAATTAGATTCGTAATGTTTCGTAGGAGCTTCTTGATTATTAATTTGTTTTTTCGTTGTTTCTACCAATCATGATATTTTAAGATGCCTACATCTGTATAAGATTACCGAACGAAACAATAATGGAGGTATTGAATAGAACATCGATAGCATCACTGCACAATTACATACCTTCGACCTTTTCCTTTAAGTTGTCAAGTTAAATGAACTTTTAACGCGTACACTAGCATAGAAACTGTACTCGGAAATGCATGGTATCAATCATTGATTGCTTGTAAAGGCCTGCAGTATAAATTAAGTGTGCATTTGGATGGAAGGTTTGAGGGAGGGATTTTAAATCCATAATAATAAGTCCATTGATGTTGTTTGAATGGAGTCATTTGTCGAGGAATTTCAAATCCACAGCTCCCATTTTAATTGTTTTCTGAGCAATTGTGGGGTCATTTCAAATCCCTCAATCCAAACGCAGCCTAAGAGTTTTTCATTGCCTAGTACATGTCAGTTACTAATATTTGCTTCTTTGTTTCGGAATATGGCAGATTTCTACGGGCGGAGGAGGTGGTAATATGGGGAAGGGTCTTAGTCATGGAGGTGGTGATGGAGGAGATGATGGTGGTGATGATGATGATTACTTTGACAACTTTGACGAGGGTGATGATGGAGATGAAGGTGGACTGTTTCGGAGAAGGATTGTTCTTGCCGAGGTAACAAACTAATATGTTTTTTTAGTTATATCTTTATTTAATCAGTTCAATTATTTTTCTTTCATAATATACTCACAATCTGAGGCTCGTTGTCCTCTGCTAGTTGTTCGATAAAAAATTTGTTGATGCTGTTTTGAGTGAGTGGCAAAAGACCATGATGGATTTGCCTGCTGGGTTTCGTCAAGCCTATGAAATGGTAATGTTACGCCTTTTCTTTTCCCTTTATTTATTTATTATGGTATGTTATATTAGAAAGTGGACTCTGATGTCAAATTGGCTCTATAGGGTTTGGTGAGCTCCGCTCAAATGGTGAAGTTTCTTGCAATGAATGCCAGACCTACAACTGCCAGGTTCATTTCTCGGTCGCTTCCTCAAGGACTGTCGAGAGGGTTTATTGGCAGGTGAATTTTAAAGCTCCAATTTTTACTAACACTTGCTAAAATCTACGAGAGTTCAGTTTTTTCCAAATTGCATTCACAATTTCTGCTGTTGTTGGATCTAAATTCGGCTTTTATAGCATGTATTTATATTTGGTAGCATATCATTTCAAACATTCCTTAGCTGTAGAGTTGAAACTGTTCTCGGTCTGTCTCAGACACTGTGAATCTCAGCTCACAGATTAGCTTTATTATCCCTAAACGGGTTCCTTGAGATGTTTCCTTTTGTGTTGTTTCACTAGAAGTGGAGATTAGAAAGTGGTTGAAAACTAATCTGAATAAGGCAAGTGGTATAAATGTTCAGAGATAGAGATACTAGAGAATTTAAGCATTAGTCTGAGAAAGTAAGGTTGTCTCTTCCAGAGGCACTTAATGATTCTTGTTTCAATCGCAGTTCTTAGATTGACCACGATATTGGTGAAATTAGCTAGTGGCTCTGCCTCTGATAATACTGTGCATGGTTGGAGAAGTTGTTTAAATTCGTTTAAACTCATCAAACATTAAAAATAAAAATATTACTTAGATCCCTTATGGTTTAACATCCAATATTAAGGAAATTATCAACTACTACTCCGGTATTCTTTTTATGATGTTTTTGGAATTTCTACACAAGACTTAAAAGTTGACGACAGCTATACGAGGAAAAGATTTGTTGGGTTAAGTTCGAGTGTTTTCTGTTCTCCAAAATTTGCTGGCTCAATGAGTTACATGTTAAGAAAGACACTCATTTTAGCTATGCCGTCAATTTTTCTTTATATATCACCAGGCTTGATAAGATCAAACTTAACCCATAACTTTTTCTTCGGCTCCCAGTTCACACCTTTTAAATGGGGTTGTGGTTTATCTTGATCTAGTTCGTATATAATATTTTTTAACTGAAAGAAAGAAAACAAAAGGATTGAGAATGTTAATCTAGCAAAGAGCTTTGATGAAGACATAGTAATCATATCATATGTCAGTTGATCTTACTAGATGATAAATTGCATATTAAAACCAATGAAACTATCTGGAGCTTATTTTCGTTTGGCTTTCTTAGTCTCATCCCCATCTCTCGATAGTGATTGGTCTAATCTCATTGAATACCACTTGTCTCGGTTCAAATAATGTAATTGCGCTTTCAATATGCTCAACTTTGGACTGCTTTACTCTGTTCAGGGTAAGTTCATTGTACGACAAAGTTATACATACCTATTTTACAATTGAAGTTAATTATAAATAATGGACACGAATGAGTATCCGTGAGAGCATTAGTTTGTTATAAAATTATGACTAATTATATTACATGCTGAAGCTTCCTTTTTTATTATATCCATGTTCATGATGGTATTTGGATATGTACTATATTAGTATATGTATTTGCATTGAGAAGGAAACTTATTAATCAGTGATAACTACTGTATACATATTACATTTTGAAACAATTGCCAGATATTAATCCGAAATTCATCTCAACAGGATGATTGCAGATCCAGCATTTTTGTCCAAGCTGCTTTTCGAGCAGGCAACTACAATCGGTTGCTCTGTCTGGTGGGAGATCAAGAATCGAAAAGAAAGGTATGTTCCTAGACTTCTCATAAAGAAGGAAACATTATATCTTTCCTTATTTGCCCTCTATTCTCGAATTAACATCAGAAATATTCTGATGCAGGATAAAGCAAGAATGGGATCTTGCCCTCATCAATGTACTCACCGTGACAGCTTGCAATGCTATGGTCGTTTGGTCACTCGCTCCATGTCGTTCGTACGGAAACACCTTCCAATTCGATTTGCAAAATACACTGCAGAAGCTCCCAAACAATATCTTCGAAAAAAGCTATCCGTTTAGAGAATTCGACTTCCAAAAGAGACTTCAGTCATTCTTTTACAAAGCAGCAGAGCTGTGTATGGTGGGATTCACTGCAGGAACTGTGCAGGGCGCTGTATCGAACCTAACCGCCACTAAAAAAGACGGAAGGTATAATATTTTAATTGTATTTAATCTTAAACATCTACACTTAATTTTAATTTTTTTATTAAATTTTGCAACGGCTTAGGTTATCAGTGACAATTCCATCAGTGAGCACAAACGCACTCGGTTATGGAGCGTTTCTTGGTCTTTATGCAAACTTGCGGTATCAGCTTTTGTGTGGCTTCGACAGAGGAGTTACCAGCTACTTCGATGTTATTGGAGTAGCTCTGTTCTTCAGCGCAGCTTTGAGGTGGGCTAATTCTTGATTATTGTTACTGGAATGTTAAATGTTGTTTCAATTTTACTTATACCGTTTTAACTTCGAATGTGATTTTGACCTTTTCCTAGTCTAATTTTGGCGAAATTCAAATCACGGAATCTGTTGTAGTCCTTTGAGTTAGCTTTCTAATCCAACTTGAATCAGCTGGATTGGATGTTGGGTGGCAAAGTTATGCATGCATGATTTACATTTTGAATTTTAGATAACTCAAAATATCAAAGTTATGGGCAGTGTTCATTGATTCATGCATATATTTCTCACCCGACATCCAATCTTAGTGATTTAAGATGAATTAGAAAACTAACTCAAAGAATTACAAATTCCGTGTTTTGAGTTTTGCCAAATTCAGATAATTTGAAACGGTAGTATTAAAACTGAAACGACATTTATCACATCCCATATTGTTATTCTTATAAAAGTCACACAAAAATCATTTTTTTTTTAATTTTCTTGAATTTTAAATGTTATTTTTTAATGGGTGCAGGGTGATGAATGTTCAACTAGGAGAAACGTCTAGATTGGCATGGCTAGGGGTGGAGGTGGACCCACTAGCTCAAGCGGACGATCTATTGAAGAAGGCTTACAATAGACCTTCAGAAGGAGCCGACCAATCATCTTCATCCAAGTGGTTCATATCAAAGAACGCTATAGTTTCAGGTTTAGGGCTTCTTGGAATAAAACAGGGCCCGTCAAACACTGAAGATGGTGGTTCACCTGCACCAAAGGCTCGGAGAAAGAGAGTTGTTCGGAGAAAAGTGGCGACGAGTTAAGTGAAATTAAAGCTCGTGTTTTTATTTTATGTTTTCAATTTTGGCAGAGCTTTAGTGTAGACCCCACACACCCTTGATGGATTATATGCATGCACCCCCACTGGAAGCTACGGTGTGTATATGCACGACATGGAGTTTTTCTGGTTCGGCGTTTGGACAAGCAGTGCAAAGATTGTAATGATATATTCTACGAGGGTTTGTTCGCTATTTTTACCGATTCTTTTCTCCTAATTTTGGTATCTAATGACGATTTTAGTGCAATAAATTTGTGGACTGCAGATTGAACTTTAATTTGTTCAAAAAGTTTAATGTGAGCTTTGTTTTGTTGATGAACTGTGTGTTCATTTCCACTGTTAATGATATGTATTAACTTCATTAGTTTTCCATAATCTTTTTTTGAACTGGATAGAATATTTTAAAAAAGATTTCATTGTAGTATTTACAAAAGATTTTGTTAAAGCTAATGAAATTTTTTGTCTGTTTAGGAAGTTACTCGAATAAGAATATGTTAGGGTAAATTATGAAAAATTTCCTCATATTTGGTAATTATAACCAGTCATCAAATATGAATTTTCTTCCATGTTCACTCTGGTGGTGTCGAATTCCATGGAATATTCTCCAGTTTGTACTTGTTTTGTTCAAAAATGCAGTTTTTGATGCACCATAATCTGATATTTACAAGCCAAAAGAAGAGCCAAAAGAAGAGACATTTTACGATCATTTTGTTTTAAAATAAGGAGCTCGAATGTAGTAAAATGAGTACAAACAGAAGATTTCACTAAATTTGACAACATAATAGTAACCGTGTAAGAAGATTCATAGTTGAAAGGTAATTGTAATTACTCAAACAAGATATAATTTTTATAATTTGACCTTACCTAAGGGTTTTGACCGTAATTTACCATAAAATATTATGCTCAATTTTGAGCAAGTTAGGAGATAAGAGATGGAATATATAAATAAATTATTTAAAAAAAAAAAAATTTGAAAAAAAGGAGGAGGAATGGGTGATACTTGGCCAAGAGAAAGCCAACACATATTTTAAATTTTAAATTTTAAAAAGCTACGTAAATCAGATTGTTGTTTAGATTTGATAGATAGATAGCTTTGTCAGAATTCTCTTCTCGGCAGCGGCGCGTGATGGACACTCTCTACACCACCGTCCACTATTGGCTAGTCGACCACCCAATAATCAGCCAATACGAATGGAAGCCCAACCAAACCCCCGGCGCTTCCTTACTCTTCCTCACCGCCACCGTTCTCACCTACCTCACCCTCACTCTCTCTCTCCACCACTTCCCCGGCGGCGGCCTCCTCCCCACCCTCCCCTCCGCCGCCCTCCGCCTCATCACCGCCGTCCACAGCCTCATCCTCTGCCTCCTCTCCCTCCTCATGGCCGTCGGCTGCACGCTCTCCGCCCTCCACCAAACCCCTCCCCACCACCCCACCTGGCCGATCTGCTTCCCCGGCGGCGGCCAAACCCCGCCGCGGGGGCCGACGTTCTTCTGGGCACACGTGTTCTACTTCTCGAAGATCCTGGAATTCGCCGACACGCTGCTGATCCTGGCGAGCGGGTCCCGCGCGAGGCGGCTGACGTTCCTCCACGTGTACCACCACGCGGTGGTGGTGGCGATGTGCTACCTGTGGCTGGCGGCGCCGCAGTCGTTGTTCCCGGTGGCGCTTGTGACGAACGCGACGGTGCACGTGGCGATGTACGCGTACTACCTGCTGTGCGCGCTCGGGATCCGGCCGCGGTGGAAGAGGCTGGTCACGGATTTCCAGATCCTTCAGTTCGTGTTCAGCTTCGCGGTTTCGGGTTGGATGCTCCGCCTCCATTTTACCGGGTCGGGTTGCGAGGGGATTCGGGCCTGGTGCTTCAATGCGGGCTTCAACGCTTCCCTTTTGGCGCTGTTCGTTGACTTTCATCTCAAGAATTATGCAAACAAGAAGAGATTGTCTGTTCAAGATAACAGCAATCATAAAAAAGCTTCTTAATTTTCTTTTTAACAGATGAGTTTAGCTTTCAATTTTTTTTTTTTTATTTTTCAATTTTCTATTTTTCGATAATTTCTCTAAACAATTGAGATCTCTTTTATTTTGTGTTCTAGTCAAATGTTAATTGATAATTTTTAGTGATAATTACAGTTTTTGGGATGTTTGCACCTTCTTCACTTTTAGTCCCCATTTAACGTCGTCAACAAAATACTGTACTCTAATGTTGCCACATTTTAACACATTGAATTCCTCTCGTCTGTGTGATCGTCAACAAGTAACGGTCTAAGGTTGAATTAAAATAGAATTTCGGATTTTTCTTTGAGAAATTTGCAATAAAACCCATGTACTATCTTCAAAACTTTTTATAAATCCCTAAAATTTCATCAAATCCTAATTTAATCCCGATTTCATTAATTAACTAATTTTGACAAACGACCCCGATAAATAACTGGCATATCAACATCAATTAACCTAATCCAATGCAGTTAACCGGCAATTAAAAAACGATGAACGGCGGCAAATAACAATATTAAAAAAATATCGTCGCCGAAAAAGATGAATTAGGCATGTGCCGAACAAAGACACTTGTGAGATGGAAAATTCAAGAGGTAAGGAATCGCATGATTATTGAAGAAGAAGAAAGGAAGCCTTTTTTATGAACAATAAATAAATAATTAAAATTATTCACCCTCTTTTACACGTATTCTTCTTACAACAAATCACATAAATTACTATACACACACATGTATCTTCACACTTGAAAATTTAGAAATGGGCTTCACTTCAGTCACTGTGTTCTTGGCATGGCTTCTTCTTATAGCAATATCAGGTGAAATTTTCATTTTCTTCTTATAAGAAAATATATATATTTTTTTTATCCTAGTTTTGTTTGATTAATTAATCAACAGGGATAAATCTATCCAACTCCACAAAATTCACCATCACTAACTACTGCAACGAGACCATATGGCCGGCAATAACCCCAAACAACTTTAGCGGCGGCGGCTTCGCTCTCCGGCCAACTCAATCCGCCGTCTTCACCCCCCCGCCAGACTGGCACGGCCGGATATGGGCCCGTACCGGCTGCGATTTCGACAAAAATGGGACCGGCTCGTGCCAGACAGGCGCCTGCGGGACCCACCTCCAGTGCGCTGGAGCCGGGGTTCCGCCCGCCACAGTAGTCGAGTTCTCTCTTGGAGGAGAAATCGACTACTATGACGTCAGCCTCGTCGACGGTTTCAATCTGCCAGTGGTAGTGGAACCTATCGGCGGGAAGGGCAACTGTAGCTCCGTCGGGTGCGAACGGGATCTTCTTCCCAACTGCCCGGCGGAGCTGACGTTGAAGTCGCCAACCGATGGGGTGGTGGCTTGCCGGAGTGCTTGTGATGTTTACGAGAGCGATGAGTATTGTTGTAGAGGTGCGTTTTCGACTCCTGTGACGTGTTTGCCTACGAACTATTCGAGGATTTTTAAAGAAGCTTGCCCTAGAGCTTATAGCTTTGCTTATGATGATCCCACTAGTATTGTCACTTGCTCCGCCGCAGATTATATGGTCACTTTTTGTTCCTCAAGGTATGTAAATATATACATTTTGCGAATCCGCTTTCTAATTTTTCGAAGTATTTTGGATCGGAATTTGTATTAGTACGTCCTTCTGAAAAAATAATATCTTAGAAAAATATAAATTCTAATCCGATACGTCCGATTTTTGCTTCTAGAAGAAGATCAAAATTTCATCTATGGTTATATCTAACATTATTTTCTTTTGTGTTTTTGGAATAGGAATCAAACACAATGTACATATCATGACAAGAAGCTTATATGTAATGAAGGAAGTGGGATGTTGAAGGAACTCTCTCAAGTGTGGAAGCTTCTATTGTTGGCTATTATCACACCACTTTTTATGTGAATCCATTCTTTGAACTTTCTAGTGCACATATAATTCTTGATTTTGATTAATGTTTTGTAACCCTAGATGCTTTTTTATGTGAAGTTTCGGGTTTTCGAGTTCGGTTTCAATGCCCACAACATTATATTATAGTTTCGGGTTTTCGGGTTCGGTTTCAATGGCCACAACATTATATTACAATAATTGCAAGAAAACATTAGACTAAATTTGGTGGGGTGCGCCTGGCCCTTGCAATAGTGCAACGCAAAGGCGACGCATGAGAGCCCAAGCAGCAAGCTACCTTAGTGGGCCCTCCCCCTAAAAAAATGAATTTAATATCGTGTGAGCCGATGGCTCACATATCAGATATTAAACTGATAAGAACTAGGGGTGAGATCGGCTCGGATCGGGTCGGTTTTAGCCTCAAACCGAACCTGGAACCGAAATGGTCGGTTCACGAAGAACCAAAAACCAAACCGGTCGGTTCATGTCGGTTCGGTTCTAGTCGGTTTTTCGGTTTTTTTTCGGTTTCGGTTTTTTTTTTCGGTTCCTAAATTTTCGGTTCGGTTTCTTAACGGTTCCGGTTTTCGGGTCGGTTTTCAGCCCTTTTTTTTCTCTCTAAAATAAATTTAAACAAGCCCAAAATATGCTAAAAATAATTGAGCCCATTTTGAATCAACCAAAGCCCAAAAGAGTCAAAATAAAAAGCCCAAAATTCAGGACAAAATCAAAAAATACACAAAAAAATCATATCACAGCATTAAAAAAAATTTAAGAAAATAAACAACAATCAAAAGTTCAGCACCACAACATCACAACAGAAAGGAAAAAAAAAAAAAAACAACATTTCATCATCCAAAAAGTAAAGAAAAAACGCGCAGGCAGAAAGTAACCAAATCACCAAAAGATTCAGTACACTGAGAAATGAGTTTAAAACATAAATCCAAAGACCAAAGTTGTAATACTACTTAAGATCGTTTAGGAGAGTTAACAAAAACTGCAAAAAACAAAAGATATAATCACCAAGACACCAACTCCCCCACGACTCCATGAAAGTTGAAAAATCTCCCGATTGTTTATACCAATCTGCAAAATACATATATATATATATTTATAATGTCTGTATTGTATAAAACATAGAAATTATATTTAAATAAACAACATTACCGTTTTAAAGACATGAATCTTGCATAGTGAAGAACTTCGATCCACTTGAAAATGCATCTAAAAATTACGCAAGTAAAAAGTAAGTTAGCTTTTAGAAATTAAACATAACACTATAACAGTATCTGAGGTAATTAAATTAAAATATAGAAAAAAAATATATTATAAGCTTGTACCTATCTCAAGTTTTTCCAATTTTTCTTGCAAATCTCCTATATCCTTGCTTTTTGGTTTTGCATCGGACAGTTCAATGTCAGTCGGCGAAGATCGGATCCAATCTTGAGCACAAATAAGAGATTCGGCCGTCTGAGGACTAAGAGAACTCCTAAATGGATCAATAACCCTACCGCCGATGCTAAATGCCGACTCCGATGCCACAGTGGATATTGGCATTGCTAACACATGTCGAGCAATTTGAGAAAGTATTGGGAACTTTACGGAATTCATTTTCCACCAATTAAGAATATCGAACTTTTCATCTCTCTTTTCCATTCCATCAGACAAGTACACTTCAACCTCGGACTTTTCGATATTTCCTTCACCCTCCAGGAATTTCAAATAACTTGATTCCAAATCAGTTTTCATATCACCAGTTTTATCCTCAGAAACAGCACAACCCAAAGACGAAGATGTTTTACCATTCACCTTGTCGACTTTCATTTTGTAGTGATCAAATAATTCATTCAAAACTGAACGAACCCTTTCACTTACTTCCTTGGATTTCGGAGAACCTGCCCCATAAGTCTGCCCTAAACAGAAATCAAGATAACGCATTTTATTGCGGGGATCTAACACCACAGCCACATACAACAACAAATTGATCTTATCAATATTATCCCAATACTTGTCATATTTTGTTCTCATAGAGATGGCCATTTCCCTTTCTTCCTTATCCGAGCTCAAGCACATTTTCGAAATGCATGCACGCATTGCCACGAGTTCTTTGAAAAACAAGTTTGAAGTTACATATTTGTTCCCAGAAATCAAATTAGTCACGTCGTAGAAAATCTTCAGGTACTTCATAAAATTTCTGGCTCTCGCCCAATCACTCTTGGTAGGAGGTCCCAAATTTCTTTCTTTTTTTCTCTTTCGCTTTCTTGTATTCGACTCCTCATCATCAAAATCAGCTTGAAAATATTCTTTATAGTTGTAATCCAATGATTGAAGTCTTTCGAAAGCATCAACATACTTCTCTGCAGTTTCCAACATTAGATATGTGGAATTCCACCTTGTTTCGACATCCAAACAGACTTTCTTTGTACAAGTTATCTTTTCCCTCTCGACACACTCTCTGAATTTCGCCTCTCTAGCAGGAGAGGACCTGACATACCTCACTGCATTTCTGATTTTGACAACAGATACATGTTGTTCTTCTAACCCATCCCTAACCACAAGATTAAGGATATGGGCACAACACCTTAAATGGAGAAACTTGCAGTCCAAGACTGCATCAGGTCCACTAAGCATAGTTTTCAAGAATTTGATTGCCCCATCATTTGATGAAGCATTATCAACCGTGACAGTGAAAACACGTTCAATGCCCCAATTCTGCAAGCAAGAATAAACCAGCTTTCCAATTGTCGACCCCTTATGATTTTCAATGCGACAAAAATTAAATATTTTCTTCTTCAGTTCCCAATTATCGTCAATCCAATGGCCAGTGAGACACATGTAATTAACATTTTGTACCGATGTCCATGTATCGGTGGTGAGAGATAACATTTTCCCTTTCAAAATTTTCTTCAAAATAACAGCCTCATCTACATAAATCCCCAAACAGTCTTTAGCTAGAGTCCATCGAGAGGGCATTTTGAATAAAGGGCATAGCTCCAGCACGAGCTCCTTAAATCCTTCATCATCAACGATGCTGAATGGTCTGTTATCCTTGATGCACATCCTAGCAAGTGCAATTCTGCACTTATCTTGACTAAATGTATAAGTAGTAAGATCACAAATTGCGCCTTCCCCCTTCACATTAGGTTTATAGCTCAATATTGATTGTTTTTTTCCATCGAACCCCAATCTGCCCCTTTTTCCCTTAAACGTAGGAGAAGTGGGACAATGATGATTCAAATGATTAATCAAACCACCAGTTCCGTTTGATCTTGTATCGCATCTGAACTTCTTTTTACAATAACGACATTCAGTCATTGTTGCACCCTTCACCAAAGGAAAATGATCCCATACCCAAGATCGACGGCCTCGTTGAGCTGTTTCCTCTTTTGTTTCATCATTTGCAGCATCATTCTTTTGTTCGATAGTCTCCAACTGGTTGTTATCATGCATGTCCAAATCAGGAGTCACGGATTCCATCTACACAATGTACATAATAAAATTAATCACAATTACTGCATAAAAAATGAAAAAAAAAATCAGTATAAACACATCCTAAAATTAGCTACTGACAAAAACAAGTAAGCCATACCCAATAGAAGCACAAAAATTATAGACAATGAGAAACAAACGTAACCGTAGATAAAGAAAAAATTATGCTAGAGACTACATAACAAACTATGGATTCATCTCATTTTTTATAATAGTAATAAATAAAACGGAGATGTGAAAAACCAAAAAAAGAACTTACCAAGCAGACTTTGGAAGGAGAAGACTCTCAGACCCTATTTGGAACGGCGGAAGACGGAAGGAGAAGCTAGGGTTTTATTTGGGAGTGGGAGAGGCGATAATTTCAGAGAGAAAAAGAAGTGGGCAGGGGCGGGTTATTGGGCCCTAAAATTCAGAGGAAAAAAAAATCAGGAATATATATTAGGCCCTAATCCCTATCAAAACGACGTCGTTTCGGGTCGGTTCGGTAAATCGGCTCGGTTAACCACTTGAAAAACCGAGTATGAACCGAAAATTTCGGTTCGGTGGAAAAAAAAAACCGTATATGCGGTTCTTGCTTCGGGACGGCATATTTCGGGTCGGTTTTTCGGTTTTCGGTTCGGTTTTTCGGTTTTCGGATTTTTTTCCTCACCCCTAATAAGAACAGATACTACACTTGATCTTAGCCAAAAGGCCGAGAAAGGTATGAGCTTTTTGGTTATTGGTCCATCACATTTTATATCCCAAGTCTTTGTGTTTTTGAGCTTTCATAAATCGATGTGGGACAAACAAGAAAAACTCTCTACTCTTTCTCTTATTTGATTTCTTTCTTCATCACAGCCTAATTGAGCACATAAGCATAAAAATGAAACATCAAGAAATTAATTTTTATTTCTATTGTATAATTTCCTCATAAAAAAAAGAAAGCTAAATAAGGGTCTGAAAAACGAAAAATGTACTACATAGCGAATTATTTTGGAAGATTTTTGGTTAGCATTCTTGCGATTGATGCAAAAACTACGAAGGTAAGTAAAGGCATAAACACTTCGACATGACTTCGTTCAATTATCGTAAACAAAAGGAGAAATAATCTCATAAATGCTCGTCAATTACACTTCGATTGTTTTACTTATAATCTCGTAAATGCTCGTAAAATCACACTTTGATTGTTTTACGTATGATCTCGTAACTGCTTCTTGGAAAAAGGAGAAATAATCTGAATATCCTGGTTACAAAAATAGTTTGTTTCTGGAGAATTTAATCCTTTAGAACATTGTTTACAAAAAATTTAAAAAATAAAAAAACATTCCGATGCCGGGAATCGAACCCGGGTCCCCTGGGTGAAAGCCAGATATCCTAACCGCTGGACGACATCGGATGATGTTAATATATTCAACATACTGGTTATATATTACTTATCGTTAACCATTTAGCTCCTATATATCAATATTAATTATATAGCCAGGAAACATCAATATATAAGAAATGGAATAGTTACTTTGTGTGAATCATAACACTAATTAAAAAGCAAATAAATTTAAGTCATGATGATTAAATATTGTTGTATTAGTGTAAAATAAATAAGTTGACATATATAGAGAAGATAGTGGGAGACAAAGGCAGTCCATTTTGCACTCTCCTTTAGCAACAAAGGTCAAAAAGGAATCATACCAACTCA